GGTAACTTTTAAGTATGAATTTCGAAATGCGTCCCAGGCCGTTTCAATGGAGGACTCTGGGTCTATTGTCCAATCTATTAACGATGCTGAGTGCATGATGTCTGGTATGTTTGCTTTCCAGACGTTGGGTCTGGACTGGACTGACGCGTCCTCATGACTGGCAGTTATATGGAAGTCGAAAGTTAAAACTGCGTGGTCACTTTTACCTAAGGGTGGCATATGATGGAGGTTCACAACATCATCCTCATAGTGAGTCAGTATAAGATCTAATAAGGATGATTCAGTGTCCGGATCGTACCTTGTCGCTTCTTTCACATGTTGCACTAGAGCACATGTGATAACCGCATCAACTAGTTCCTGCTCGAAAGAATTCTCCGACGATTTAGTTCGCAGATTTTCCCAGTCTACCATAGGTGCATTAAAGTCCCCTAGGATTAGACATCGACCACTTTGGGACCAAGTATTGAGACTGCTTAACAGGATCTCATTTGCCTCACAGCTTGGACTGCGATAGACCAAACCAATCAGCAGCTCTTGTCCCTTGCATTTTAAGCGAAGACTAACTAATTCACACGTCCCACTCTCATGGGATACACTATCGATAATGGTAAATGGGATAGCATTCCTAATGAATAGAGCTACTCCCCCTCCTTTGCGCTTTTGTGTTCTGTCGGCCCTTACTAACGTAAAGCCCTCGAAATCAAGTTCTATACTATCTATAGCCTGTGTCAGCCAGGTTTCTGTTACTGCGATTATATCTGGCTTTATAGAGTCAATCTGCACACCTAGTTCCGATCGCTTATTAAGTAAGCTTCGTGCATTGGTGTAACAGATCCGAAGCCTGTTTAAGTGCCTTCGTGCTTCACCCAGAGTGGCTTCGGCATCATTCTCTGTCGAAGTCTTACAACCCGAAAATTTACAATTTTCAGGTCCTTTTCGCCAGCGTCTAACCTATGTTGTAGTTCTTTCTCGGCTTCCCGTCTTTTAACACGGTCTGCCAACGGTAGGTCCTTTCGGATAAAGACTCCTGAACCCTTTAATTTGTGTCCATTTTGTAAAATTAGGTCACGTTCGTTCGAAGAGCCGAATACTACTTTAAGCAGTCTGGAATGATTTGGTTTCGAGTCCGTTAGACTCCCTAGTCTGTACACCTTTAGCAAGGTGACCCCGGTCATATTTTGAGGCATGAGTTGATTAAGCAGCTGCCTAATCAGTACAATGTCATGCTCAAAACGAGCTTTAGGTTCAGAGCTATCGCTCTCCTTGATTCTATGAAAAATAGCTGATCTGTCGCTATAATCAGCTTTCGATTTTTCAACCACTCTTACGGGGGCAGGTTTCTCTTTTATATCCCTACTTTTCTTCCTTACAACCTTTACCCATTCGTCAACGGTGCTGGTAGAAGCAATAACAGTTGCGTCAAACCTAGTGTTGGGTTTTGGGGGGTTGTCGACGACCTGAGAGGTCGTGTTATGTTTACCGTTTGAAACCGATCGAGCCTTGCGATTGCGGCTTCTAGGTGTTTCCTGTTGGATCCCATCTGGAAGACGGGGAACAGAAGACCCTACTTTTCTTGAGCTTTTGTTTAAGGCAGGCCTCTTTGGAGACTGCTTTTCCTTCTTTGACGGGCGTGAGTCATCTATCACCGGACTAACCTTAGTTTCCTTCACGTTGATTTGCGTGTCGACAGATCGAGTGCTGTTTGACGCGTTCCGACTATGCTTGCTAAAACACTTCTTTGCAGCATCAACCAGTGAGATGGCCTCGGTTAGCAAGCTGTTTGCATCCGAGCAGCACTGTTGACAAAGCCACACACAACCCTTCTTACTGAACCGTTTGAACGCAGCAGGATAGATCACGTACAGATTCGTTCAAAAGGTAATAATTGGTCGCTCTATAACACAAAGTGTTTTCAATTCTGGAAGAGTGCTTCAATTCACAACCAAAATGCACAATTCCAGTCAACACAGGTCAAGCAATCAAAAGCAGGGATAAACCAAAATGGCTGCCGCCCAGACTTAGTATAAAGTAAAACAACATAAGTGCAGTTCGGGAAGAAACACGGGGAATTGGTGAAGGTGTAGTAAAAACGAAACTATAATAAAATACAAATACTAACAATTCAAATGTAGTCAAAAAGTTAACAATGTACAACTAAAAGAATCAATAGGAACAAAGTGTAAGTATATACATGGAGAGATTTTCACAAACACACAAAGCACTCAAAATGGATCTTACACTGATCATAAAAAACGTGCAAAGGACAGAAGCTACTAACTCGGAAAACCTTGTATAGTTAGGTTACCTGTTCATTCACATAAAACTGATACACCTAAGTAGGGAGGGGAAGCCCAGACATTCCAAATCGAAAGCATAAACTGCTTATATATGGACACAGCGATTTTACCAAATAAAATGGATGAACTACATGAGTAATGCTAATATTGCTCATTTAAGAGGAATATCTAAAACTTGGATATCTTCTCACTTTACGGACCAGAAGCCTGCAAAACCCGGGATGTCCTTGTTTCGCAGTTGGAGAAAAACAGGGATTGGGGCGGGATAGTCTTATGCTTGCGATCTTGTCTGGAGTTACATCAGGCGCACAACCAAGAGTTTATCAATCTTGATGAATCTGTATGGTACTCAATAAGATTATCTACCACCTCAAGGTGTCTAGTTGGTCATCCGCAGGAAGCCCACTGCTGACAACGAGTAAGACAATCACATGCTGGAAGAGTTATCCGGCTCTCCTCGTCTCAGATTCTTTCATATCCTGACTCTAGGGGACTTCAATCTTCCTAAAGTCAGTTTCGCGGAACATACGTATATTGGAGGTGAAAAATCTACTGAAGTTCGGTTCTTCAGCCTCATTGAAGATCTAGAATTATTCGAAAATGTGAAGTCATCAACTCTTTTGAGAAAAGTCAGATGCCGTCACGCTTAGACCGTTTATTTACAAATGAAGAATTCCTAATTGACAACTTTTCGATCCTGGCTTCCCTAAGGAAAAGCGACCACGCCGACATAGCTTTTAGTTTCATCAGCAAAACTGAGCTAAAACATCCTACCAAAAACAGGCGCTGGAATTTCAAACGGTTGGATGTTTCAGCTTTACAGGACTATCTGCAACAGGTGGATTGGGAAGTTTCCCCTCAACTTGACGTGGATGCTCATTGGGATTTCTTACTGCACAAAGCAGTCTGTCCCACTTACGGTCCCTGAAATCTACAAGCAACCTACAATCATCAAGAACTGCACTCTTCGTTTGCTAGGCCGCAAAAGGCACTGCTGGACGGAATACGAACAAACTGGTAACAACGGCGCACACGGGCAATACAAACAAATAAGGAGCATATGCACAAAGGCAATAAGAGAAGACAGGCTTCAGTATCAGATCAAGCTTACCGATACAATTGACTTGAATATGAAAAGCTTATTCCGTTATGCAGCCTCTCTTCAACAGGTCAAAATTGAAGTTTCTCAACTGCTAGGCCCTAATGGCCAAACTAGTAACGACGGTGACGCCTATAAACTTCTGACTGAACTGTACTCTTAGACATTTCAATCGACCCACACTAATGATGAAAGCTTCATCTGTAATTCCGCACGTTTTTCACAGGTGAACCGAAGCGCTGACTTGGTGTGCAGCACCAAACTTATAACTGTCCTCCTGGTCCCCATATGATCCATTCTGCTATACTGAGGCAAGCTGCTTCAATCTTGGCAACACCGCTTGGCGTGCTGTTCTCGCTCTGACTGAGCCGTAGCAAATTACCAGAGATTTAGAAGCTGTCTCACATCACACCAATTTTCAAAGGAGGTCGACGCAGAGAACCTTCAAGCTATCAACTGGTGGTCCTTCTCTCGATACCTTCAAGAAGTATGGAGTCCCTGATATGCGACGGTATACTCGACCATTTATTATCCTTGAACTTCTTTTCACCCCCATATATACTTATCATTAAGCTAAATCGATTGGGTATCAAATCACCTCTAATTGACTGGCTCACTTCGTATCTAAAAATCGATATTTTAAGATCAGGGTTAACTCCGCTTTTTCTCACGCCATGGAATGTCCTGTTGGTGTCCCCCGACTGGTACTTTAGGATGATTTGACTCGGCTTCAAAGTCGGGCAGATGACAACGGACATACCTTTAACAATTCAAAATGTAAAGTAGTCTATCTGAGACATGTTTCAGACTAAATCTACAAATGAGGTAACTCCCCTTTAGAAGTATCCCGAGTTGAAAAAGATCTTGAAGTGTTGGCACCCTATGATTTGAAGCTTCACGCTAACTGTGACAAAAACGCCTTTCGAGCAAACCTTGCACTAATAACATTGAAGCTCATTTTTGGCCGGTTTGACGGAAGAACTTTCCACATACTCTTCAACAGTTTCGTTCGTTCCCATTTAAAATACGGAAACATAGTATTTCCTCCCTTACTCCAAAAGGATAAGGACACTCTGGGGCGTATCCAATGGCGAGTCACGAAATCAGTTCTAGGACTCGAATTCATGCCTTATGAAGAGCGCCTCCAGTCACTGAAGCTCTACCCATTAAAGTATAGGCGTCCTAGTGGTGACCTTTGAATGGCTTACGACATCCTAAATACTTCTGGACATATCTTTAAACACCTACTTAAGTTTAGTTTCAACACAAACGTAAGGGGTAACACCCAGAAACTGGAGAAACAACACGGCAGAACGGATTAGAGACATAACTTTTACTCCTTAAGAGTCGTCAATTACTGGAATTCGCTGCCAGCTGAATCAGTGCAAGTGACTTACCAGGAGTCCTTTAAGAGTCAACTTGACATATTCTTAAAGACTAAAGATATTATCTCACTATGATTCACTATTTTTTTCTTTTTCCTCTTTTATACACAGGTTCCTGCCTGGAGGTATTGGCGATCCACTTCTACCAGGCACGGAAGCCCAACCAGCGAAAACTTCTTCTATTCCGTCCAAAACCATTTGAACTATTTGAAGTTTGTTTTTATTCACTAAAAGTACTAGTAAGCGCGCGTCTCCTAGATTGTCTTAGTCGTGGTGTTAGCTGTGCGTGCCCCACAAGTAGTATGTCTATAGTAGATGATGAGGAATTTGCAACTGGAGATTCTGGGGCTTCAAAAACTTTACCGAAACAGTGTAGTTCTTTGAGGAAAGGCGGATATGTCGTAATGAAAGATCGTCCTTGCAAAATCGTGGACATGTCTACGTCGAAGACCGGGAAACATGGCTCTGCAAAAGTGCACATAGTCGGGATCGATATATTCACTGGTAAGAAATATGAAGAGAATCGCACATCATCACACACTATGGATGTACCTGTGATAAAAAGTGAGGATTATCAACTGGTGGATATCAAAGACGGGTTCTTGTCACTAATGGGCGACGATTTATGCGTCATCGAAGATATTCCCGTTCCTGACAATGAAGTCGGAAAGGAATTAAAGGAAAAATGGAATTCAAGAGGGGAGACAGAGAATATGATTGTAAGTTGCTTCGTGGGTTATAAAGTTCTTTCCTAGGTCACTATATTATCTGCTATGGACGAGAGGCAAGCACTAAAAGTTCGTACTACTTCAGACAAGTAAACAGAATCCCATTTGAATAAAATTTCACACGACACTAAGTAAAAATTTTTTTATTATGTTTGAGAAAAAAATATATTTCTAGTGTTATTTGAATCAGACCTTAGTATCTCGTAGTCAATAAGGCTTCACTCCCCGCTTAATAGTTTCAGAGTCATACGTGGCACCGACATGTTCATCCCATGCTTTCCTACATTTGGCGACAATCCATGTATGCTCCTCATGGTCTAGTACATCAATAGTATATCACCAAACCTACCTGCATTGCGAAGAAAACATCCGTTATAATCTGTCACTACTCTCGTCAATGGATTGTAGAAACCATCACCAGTATCGTAGCATCCGTCTGGTATTTGTGTCCTTGGTTCTTTGTCTACTATTTGTGACCTTCCTGCAAGATAGAGAAATGTGTTGCTTGAAATATGAATAATTGCAAAACACTATCGTGGCTCTTTTACCTAAATCTGGTTTCTGAGATGTTGCCAACTACGACTAAGTATCCTCACTCACCCAGTTCGTTGGTGACCTGAATAATATATAAACTTGGTAGGTTGAGACACCTGCGACTATATCTGCAAATTCGATATCTACTTAGTGCAACAACACATTTGATAGATAGGTGATGCCTGTGGATGGCGTCAATCTCGGCTGGATGCAAGGTCACTAGTTATCCTCGTTATTAGTCTGTCCAAAGTGTTGTAGTGGTAACATCTTTCAAACTAAGTAATTTCGCGAAACATTTGTCTAGGCAGCCGGGAAGTATCACATCAATGAAAACTGTCACCGGCCTCGTTATTGTGTGGCACACATGTATTTGGTGTCTGGTTGTGCCATTGTTTATGTACAAAGAGTACCGTTAATCGTCACTATTAAGTGTTGTGATAAACATTTTGTACCACTAGTAATTAATGAAGAGTAAATTTCGTCGGCGATAGTGACAGTAAGCTAAAATATCCACGCCGTTTGGCTAGTTCGAGTCCAGCTTTGTAGTTCTGGTCTGTCCATCACATCTGCTAGCTGCTGATCGTACATAACTGGTTTTTATGTTTTTGCAGGACTCGCTAGTTAATGAGTACTTAAATGACTAGTGACACTTTTAGGCAGTGGTGGATTACGCTGTAAGACGTTATATTTTGGTTTTGGCGTTAAGTAGACAAACGCAAATTCAGTCGGTTGGGGTTTAGGGTTTCTAAAAGTCCCCCATGTACTACTAGATTGTCATCCGCGTACTTAAAATAGCTTTTCCTCGAAAAGCTTGAGGAAGTCTCCCTGAGCTTACCTATAGTACCGTGAGTGAAGTTAGTAGTCAGAATCATAGTCGGCGCTACTTCACGATAGTGAATGGAATAAGAATTAGGACTATGATGTGCCAACTTCAAGCTTTGTTTGCCCGGGATACTCTAACAGGTGAGTTCGTTTTGGGTTAATTTACCAGCTTCCTAAGAAAACCCTAAGTCACCTGTCAGCGATCTACGCTGTGTTTGCTTTTGAAAAATTACTCGGCAGCAGTATTTTCTGTCCCGCAACTAATTAACGTTGATGCGTCGAGCTCGCAAAGTTGTTTCTGCTTTCTTCAGAGTGGGCCTCATGTATCAAAGTTTTCGGTGTCCCTATTATCCCATGTTGCACCTCAGGCCTTATGTAAAACCCTGTGATTTCTTGTCTAATAAGCAAAGAACCTCTAGAATCAGTCCAAACGACCCGCAGTTACTCTTCAGTTTCTGTCTTGCTTCGAAATCAAGAGATCCTAAGTATTTTCAACAATGAGGGTTCAATATTATTAGCGTGAGGGAGTTGAACATTATTCCTTTTGATGCATATTGGCCCGATTTCATGAGAAAAAGTAAGTACTAGTGAACAGAAAACAGCGTGACCAATAAAGATGTACGAACCATATATTTTCCAGCCATCCAGCTGTAGCTTCATGTCACAGTGCTCTGTACCCGGGTACTTAGGTAGGGTCCTACGTCAAATCGCTATCTCCATTGATTACATCGAAGGATGCCCATATTCGTCTGATCCTACTGTCCAGTGTGGTGTCATATATTCCTACATGTAACCACTCTCGTTTTGCCTTGGGGTTCCTCTTTTACGTATACTTCCTATGGAAATAGAGTACCTTGATTACAGTTGTCATCACCTTGAACGCACTACTTCCCAAGATCACTCCCTCACTTCACATATACAGAATGTCGCCTCACCTTTTGCAAGGCGGCATTATTTAGTTTGATTATTAATAGGAATGAAAGTAGTTAGGGACGTTGACTGTTCCACTTATTTTACTCATCACCTACATTAGAGCTAAATAAATAGTGATAAGTTCACACCTGAAGTATTGTTTAAAGGTGCTAATCGATATTACATTATAATTAATATTACATCGACCAATGCATTAGGATCGTGTGCTGCGCATCCCCGGCTACCGTTGATAACGTGATCTACAAGCCAGTACAAAATTAAGTCATTTATAGACGACACAGATGTTCATCAAGTCAAGTTGCTTCACCCACTGTGAATACACCTGAAGCGGAAATTAATAAGACGAAGACAGGCAATGTTGTTCGTTGTAGTATGCGGGCAAAGGTAGCTGCTGTTCAGAAAAGACGGATGAAGTCAGAGAATAGAGTCACGGGTGCGCACTTCTGAGTCTCACACTGGGACGAAACTGCCGTCCGGTAGTCTCAGGTTGCCAACGCTGGCCTAACATCGATCAGTCTATGGTCTCAATCAAAAACTTAACAGTCTCCATACTGCTATGTAGGGTAACGTTATTGGGATTGGGAGAGAGGGGACACATTAAGCCACAAGCCAATGCATGCCAGGTGGCGGCCCTGATCATGAAATACGACCGTTTCGCGGATTTTAGACAAGATGTCTGGGCCTGCCGATATGTCTCATGCCAGCAGTTACTGATTTCACTAACTGGTGGTGTCTTTGTCTGTCTCCTCTTAACTTTTTTCCGACTGTCTGTATCAACTTGTAAATCGCATTCAACCAGGTTCCCATTCATCATTTAGTAGTGGCACCCCATAACCTGCTTAGATTCTAGTTTGCACAGATCTTATGGTTAAAGTGATAATATTTGTGTAAGTGCTTAGAGGTACAGTATAAGAAGCTGGGTAAGTGGCATTTGGTTATCAACCTCTTTGAAACACAAAGCATATACGTCAGCACCTATAAATCGAAGTTAGTGGGGCAGATTGGGCTTCCCTGGATACTGAATGCCAATCATTGATTAAGCTGGCATTTTTTGTGATATCCCAATGAGTAGAAAACCATTCCTGACGTTTCGTGATTTAATTTTAGCCACTTCTTCAGAGCAGATAACCGAAACAAAATTAGCTCTTGTTTGAAAATTACAAACAAGACATCGTTTCTTTTGGGATATGACAGAAAGCATATTTATCATTAAATTTCTACCAGATGCTCAATTTATTCGAAACTATCAAGTCCAACATTGGCATTGATACCTGAAAACTAATTAAACTGCTTATACGATAACTCAAGTAATTTGGGAAGCAACACACCTAGATAAGTCAAAATCCTGGTTTGTGGAATATATATGGTGTTTAGTTAACACACAGAAACGCCACACTTAGCCGTAATCCTTTTATCGCACTAAAGGTCCAATTAAGGGTCTTTGGTAGATGTTCCACTATTTAGCCACTCAGTCGTAATAAAACCTACTTAAAAGCTCTTATGAGACCTAGAAACTCAGTCTTCCGCTTACTAAACCGATAACACATAGAACTCCAACAAACCTAGTGTAAGTGTGGATCGCACTATACATCATCCAAGTTATTAGTTAGTAATTGGGACCATAATACGTCTAGTCTTTATTTATGCTTATCAAGAGGACTTTTTAAAATGTTAGTGAATTTTATCATTTACCACGTGGAACTGATAACTGTTTTACACTTAAGCGAGTTATAATTCTACCCTAGAAAATCTCATGAGCACATAAATAGTTAATTTTATATGGATAAAAATGTTGGCGTTGGTTTAAATACAGGTCATAAAGTATCACAATCAGAATGTTCATTCGTGAAGACGAAAGGTAATAAAAGCATCCGTTGTCATAAGTTTCTTATTCAAGATTTTTAGCTCCTACAAATCAGGAGAAAATTTCCATTTGGTTAGCAAATTTTCAAGCGTTTACACCAACGGGGGTTTACATACCTATGATCACAGAATCACAAAGTCTCCTGTCAGTGTTATTCTTATTACTGGCTAACGCACATCATCTTTAAGAGTAGAACTAAAAACAATAGTTATTTGGTAGACTATCGTGTAGAAATAAGCTTCTATGGTCACATAGTATATATTTTTTTAATAGGAAAAGTGACATCGAGTTAATCGGTCAAAAACTTTAAACGATTAGGCATTTTTGTCTGACAAATGTAAAAGCCCGTCGGGTGGCTTCGAAAATGATCCTTAGGGGAGATTCGTTTTAAGAGAGCTCTTGTTGAACATTTAGCGGGCAGATCCATCGCTTTTTGTATGCGCATGCGTCGTTCCCTAGTTTCTTCACGAATGATAGCAGGCAAATAACAAAACACTGCTAAACCACATTAAAACAAAATATATTTATTAGGGCTGGCTTTTCTGACTTTACGGCACTGTTTCGCCACACATTTCAGTCTAACATTTACCTGGTTCCCCTCATTTCGGTTTTAGATAATTACTTGGATGGGTTTTCTCGGTTTTCGCATTTCGTTTACTTAAATGTTTGGCACAACTGTGATTAATATGTTTTGAGCATGGTTAAATCGACAAATATGTAGGGTTGATTACTGAGACATATCAACTGATTCGTTTATAAAGACATTGTATATTCGCTAGTACTTGTCCGGGTAATTTCCGTTGCCTGAATCTGACCGATTGCGTCTCAATAAACCTGTCTGAATGATCTCCCCTTAAACATCACTAATTGTCTCAACGTATTGACCCAATCTAGGTTGAAGCTGACCTTGTCGTAACGCAATCATCCGGTGCATATGTACCTTCTTGCTTTTTTTAAAAACCAGATAGAGATGGTCATAGCACTCCAAGCTGGAAACAACCTCATGGATACTAGCATACGTATGGAGCGTCTTTTAGGTTACTTAAGCGGGAAGTCACAAGCCATTCAAGCTCGGACTTCATTGGAGTGACAAGCGGAGTGCGGCGAGCTCAGTCCTTAGACTACTCTTCCTATCGTCTAGTAACGGCGTATCATGTATTCTATAACCTCAAACTCTGTAATATGTAAGTCTCAAGATTTGGAGGGGTGCATTGGGTCCCGCTCGTATTTTGACGTTTAGAGAAGATTTACATAAGATATACGACTGAACCACCAGGAACTCCTTTTCATACCAGTAAATAAAAAACGCTAGTGCTGAACAGTAGTGATATATCCACCTCTGAATTTCTAATTGATACCACTATCACGGAAATCGACCTGGTAATAATTCTGTAGATATGTCAGTCCGTTTCTATTCTAAAACCAATACGGTACACTCTGACATTGGGTTTCTTTCTAGAACTTTAGGTAACCTGACTCTGGAATTACTGGGAACCGTTTTAGATGTTTAAGATCTCATCTGGAAATGACTAGATGTTTCCTTACTAGAAAGAAAGGATATCACGGCCTTGAGGCATGTCCAAAGGAGAACAACGAAAATGATAGAACAGGGAATATACCTTAATCAACTCACGTGAAGACAGTTAGTTTGCAACTAATACTGTGTTGAAGGGACATGACCATAATATATCATATCGTCTACAGCCCTTTTCACCTCAACAGATCATTGATAGGCTTGAAAAGTAAGGTGCATCTACTTAGGATAGAACATGGAAGAGATTGCACAAAAATCCATCCAAACGTTATCGTGATTAGAATCACAGTTATGAAACTCCACACAGTAAGTGATTGTGATTGCACCTTCTGATAAATCTCTTCGAAGGCCTGACGTTTGCTTTGGTTTCATAAGTACTGAGGCGTACTGCTCTAGGTGTTATTCCTCAATCACAGCCATTACTAATTGTTTCTCCGTTCCGATTTAGAAGAAATACAACAAGTCCAAGACCTCTGTCTAAAGCCCATATGCAAATCTGGAGTGACAAACTAATTGCTTCTTGTGTGTAACAGATTCCGAAGTCTGCGTTATCGATTCTGTAATACTAGTAGTGACGACTTAATTTCCTTAGCATTTCTTCAAGAGTTTGAACATGACAGGTATAAAACACAACCATTCCCACCCATATTCAAAGAACTTAATAACTCCAATGGTTTTACCTGCAGGCTTTATACCAGAACATATTTCCGTATAAAATCTCCTGTCGAATTCGTCGACGTAGTGAGCACCTTCTGTGTATTTGAGACCATCTGAAAATATTATCTCTCCCTAAAAAGTCATGAGCTAAAAATTCCCAAACATTTTTAGGTTTTCCATTTTCCCACATTGCATGATATTTACTTCCATTCAGAAAGTGGAGAGTTCCTTCTCCGTGAAACATACCGTCAAACATTTCCCCTTCGTAATATGTCCCAGTAGGCATAGCATACTTTCCAAATCCCTCCAACCTTCAGATTAAACTTTAATGAATACCAAACAACCTGTTGTTACGAGTCTCACCCTCATATTTATCACCACAGTATTCCATTTTTATGCTTGAAAATGTGACTACAAACTTGTTGTGGAGATCAATCGTGCGGTTGGTTATAACAAAAATGATCCAAGTCAAAAAGTCATGACTGAACAAAATTTACTAAGAATTAGTTTAGAACAGGTAGACGTGCGTCTCCTACGAAGTTGGAACGTTTCCAATATTTTGCAGACGATCAGATCGAAATTGCTGAATAGAAGACCTACCAGAACACCAACATATAGTCTATCACTTTCATAACTCATCTGTTAGTTACTGTGTATTACAAGATGCTGCACATCATACCAAACCATAGAACAATTTCTGTTCTGCAAACCAAAATGATAATCATTATAAATGTTAGGGAGATTAGGTATATCTTCATATTCATAAAATAATCTTACTTGGGCCCGTTACTTCTTGTGGAGGAGTACAGGCCGACCACCAGCATTCTTCACTCAACCCTGTCCTAGACAATCCTTTCTAGTTGCTATTCATTCTTCCCACGTCTGCTTCCAAGTCCCGACGCAGTATGCCCTTCGCCCCCCCTCTTTTCCATTCCCTATCAGGATTTCAGGCTAATGCTTACCTTGTGATGCAGTTTTCGTGTTTTCCACAATGTATGTTCTATACACTTCTAATCTGCTTTCCTAATTTCCACTTCAGTAGGAAGCTCGTTTGTTCTCTCTCACAGTATGCTGCTGCTGATTGTAACCGGTCAGCAGACATTGAGTATCTTACGTAAAAAGCTGTTTTTAGATAGTTGTACCCTTTTGATGATGGTTATGGTAATTCTCGAAGTTTTAGCTGCGTACGGTAGGACTGTCTTGACGTTTGTGTTGAATATTCTAACTTTGATATTGATTGACGGACAGTTGTTTTGAGTTCTATATATTGTCCAACTGTAGGAATGCTGCCCTTACTTAGCCAATCCTTACCTTTACATCTGCATCAGATCCCCCTTGTTCGTCGACAGTGCTGCATAGTGAAGATGCCACAGGTATTCAGAATTTGACAACGCTTTAACCAGCGACACCTGATATGAATCGTACCCACCAAGTGAAATCAAAAGACAGAAGCGAGGAGGTTGGAAGATATATTTGATAGGCTATCAATATATTGAGGATCGTCTGATCTAATCTGGCTAGTGATTGCAAGGGTTGTTGAACACGACGTTCCCACTCGTGATCTGGTGCGAATGCATAACCGAGAGCCTTCAGCCAGGTGAGTCGATTAAAACTAATGTGGTCAGTGTCCAATGTCGAAGATTTACAGAGTTATTTATTTTGGGGATTTGTTTACCGCTACATATCACTTTTCCCCCTAGTGGGGTAGTGATGACCCTAAGACGTGGCCAGTCAGAAGCTTAAACCCAACGAGTTTGTCATTGGTAAACACTCTCCTGATAGCTTGTGGGGTTTAGCAGCGTCTGGTCGTCTTTCCTTACTATAAGGGATCATGAATTGCAATGTAGTAAAAAAACAGTGTACAATGAAAAATTTGATTCCTCGTAAACCTCGTCGTTCTTTTTATCGTCTTTTCCAGCCTTTCTGGAAAGGAAAAAAAGAATATGTAAGTGCATGTCGAAATAAACTCGTACGCGCTTTAAGACAAAGTGGGAGAAAAAAGGAAAATAAACTCATGTACATGTGATAGCGTAAAAGCGATTTTTACGAAACAGTTTTTTTGGGTTTTTTAAAAGAATTTTAATACACATATATTGGCAAAATAATAAATCTATATAAATATGAGCATATCAAAAAAATTTCATATTATATATAATGTCATGGAAAATCGAGATGAGACAACATGTTAACTAGTGTCTTACATACAATAGTCGTTCAAATGTTCTGGAAATCTTACTCTTCTTCCAGAACGCGTTGTTTTAAGTTTATTTTCAGATACTGTCAAAGTATCATAGTGTGTGTTGGCTGTCGTTTGAGGTGTTATAAGTGAAGGAGTCGTGTCGTGCGATTGTACCGAAGGAAGATCGACGTGAATAGGATTTCCCTCTAAATATGCTGCTTTGAGGCGATCAAGGCTGATGCTATCGTTGGTTCCGTTCTTATCGACTATACAATACGTGGGTTTGCGTTGAACAACTTTGAAGGGTCCTTCGTGTGTTGATTCGAGAGGTCGTCGATGTGAGTCTCGACGAACGAAAACGTGTGTAATATATTGTAACTCAGCTTGAACGAAAACATCAGTTGATTGCGATAGAGTGGAAACAGATTTAACTGAACGCATTGCGTTTGTAAGCCTGTTCGTGTATGAGGTTAGATCCATGTTCATTGGAGAGGACGAAGGATCCACGAATTCTCCTGGACGTCGAAGTGTCTTTCCATAAACCAGTTGGGCCGCAGTGTATCCAATGTCATCTTTCACTGCATTGCGAATACCTAGTAAGACGAGTGGAAGAGCGCCAGTCCACTGAGAAGTGTTTGCAGCTGATAGTGAAGCCTTTAGTTGTGCGTGAAAGCGTTCTACTAACCCGTATAGGAGTAAGAGGGTTGTGGTCAGTAAAGAGGGTGAATTCACGGCCTTCGATGTAGTGTTGAGAATGCTGTGCAGCACAATACATAACTCGGAGTTCCCTACCGAATGTGCTGTACCTCGATTCGGTGTCTAGCAACCCTCTAGAGAAAAATACCAAAGGTTGCCAGGAGTTGTTAACTCATTGTTGTAAGACTCCTCCGATTGCTGAGTCAGATGCGTCTACTGCGATACTAATGGGTGCTTCGGTGTCCTGATGAGCAAGCATTGTTGCTTTAGCGATAAGTTCCTTAATTGTGGAGAATGGTTTTCTTGTGATCTCGTCCAGATTGATGGATTTCGCATTTCCACGAAGCTGGTCAATTAACGGTTTCATGAGTAACGCGCAATTCGGTATGAACCGTCTATAGAAACTTGCAAGGCCGTTAAACGTGCGTAATTGCTTGATCGTGGTCTGTTCTGGAATGTCGTCAGCAGCCATAGGGATTTGGTTATACGCTTTAACCAAGTTGATTTTCGAAAAGACAGCTGTGCCTTTCAAGGTGGCTGTCAAACCATGAGTGTGAGGCAACGAGTAACGATCGGGAGTGGTTTTGACGTTCAATAGCCGATAGTCACCAGTTGGACGCCAGTCGTTGCTGTCCTTTTTAGGGACCATGTGCAACGGAGATGCATATGGGCTATTTGACAGTCCTATGATACCTAAGTCTATCATGTGGTCGAACTCGTTTTTCTCCAACCTTAGTTTTTCGGGGGCTAGTCGGCGGGCTTTAGAGAATACGGATGGTCCTGTAGTCATTATGTGATGTGTAACGTTGCTAGTTACACACGGTAATTTCTGTTACGTTTGGTACATCCTAGAATACTTATTGAGTAGTGGTTGATAGAATGGGTCTATCGTATGCTTAATTGTGACTGGAGATAATCTGCAACCACAAAAGGAATTTACGCAAATCGACAAATTAGTGTTTCTGTCTACTAGCCTCCGTTTGCGCGTATCGATGAGTAGATTATGGTGTTGTAGAAGGTCTATATCAATGATTGGCATAGAAACACCTGCAACAACGAAAATCCAGTGAATTAGTTTGCGTAAACTCACGTTAGGGTAAACGTACCTTTGGCCATACGTAGCGATAGGCTTTCCGTTTGCCTCCTGTAAGTTTAAAACTGATTCGTGAAGCCGATCGTTAGAATTCGCTGTGGGAACGCTAACTTCTGCGCCAGTATCGACGAGGTAGTGAACTCTCGTTGTCACATCTGTGACGTACAATAGACGGCTATGTTCGCCGGCTACGGTTGCCGTTAACGCGTGCCGGCTTGGAAGTTTCTCGAATCGTTTTTTGTTTCGTTCGATTTTGAGTTTGGAAGGTTGCGGGGTTGTCCGCAATTTATGGAGGGTTTTCTATACTGGTTATGATACCAGCACCAGTCGGGGTTATCTGTCTCCCGTGGTCTAGCGACAGATCGCCTACGTGAAGTGCTTCTTCGCGGGGTGTGTGGCCGTTTACAATCGTTACGAAATTTAAGATGACGTGTAAGGGTATGACATAACTCCGTTGTGTCATTCTAGGTCGTTTGAAGCTTTTCTTTCACTGAAAAAACCTCGGCATCGGAAGATTTCGTGATTTCTAGGATGCGGTCGGCAGATGCAGCCAGCCCGTCTAAGGCGTTGTTGTGAAACGAGACAAGTACAGCTCGCACCTGTTGAGGAAGTTTGGATCAGAAAAGTTGTTTGAATAGGCCATTATCGAATGTTCTTTGGCCTATAAACTCTCTCGTCGGTTGCAACATGTCCGTCGCAGAACCCTGTTGCAGGTCGATGTTATCAAGGATTTGGTCTAACCTTTGTCTGTAGGTTGGGTCTCCGCATTTAAGAATAGATCGTTTAAGTGTTTCGTAGGGTTCCGAAGCATCACTAGTAAACATACTAGGTGTTACGTACCTGTTGAATTCGATCGGTAGTGCCTTGACTATTGGGAGGAATTGTGCATGTGTGTCGTTCACGCCGTGCTCGCAGAAGTCGGCTCCGATGTTGTCTGGCCAGAAGGGCACTAGTTGGAACGAAGGTGGGAATATAGTCCTAAGCTTAAGTACTTTGGGTGTCTGTTCAGTCACGATGAAATGTGAAGTGCGAGAATGAACGAGGGAAAAAATATTTATCCAAAAACACGAAAAAATCACAATGTATAAAAAATTGAGATATGGCAATGCTATATAGTATCCCAAAAAGGAAGAGACTCACAGTTTACTATTTGGTGTACCAGATGACGTTAGGCTCACCAGTGAAGACGCCACAGGTGTTCGGAGTTTGACAACGCTTTAACCAGCGACACCTGATATGAATCGTACCCACCAAGTGAAATCAAAAGACAGAAGCGAGGAGGTTGGAAGATATATTTGATAGGCTATCAATATATTGAGGATCGTCTGATCTAATCTGCCCTTTATGTATGAGTTCCGTTTGATGTCGACGGTCTTCTCAGGCACACCATATTGTCGAATAAGTTTCCATAATGTTCTCCTATCCACACTGTCAAATGCTTTCTTATTGTCAAGGAAGTTGATGTATGGTGATGTGTTCCATCTAACTGGTTACTCACCGATGATCTGTAGTGTCGTAATTTGGTCTGTGCACGACCGATCTTTACGGAATCCGGTTTGTTGACCTCCAAGTTGGGTGTCTACTGAGTATTTCGTCCTGTTGAGAATTTTTCGTGGTCCCAATAGTATCTTGATGCCCATGTAGTTCTCACACTTGCTTTGAATTTCTCCAATGGCTAATTTAAGGAAACAAGTTGAAACAGAATATTCACTGAAGATCTCTTTGGTAGACATGGTGTTATACACAGTATTAGCTATCAAATAATGTTGACTGTCCAGCGATATTTGCGGATTGTGAAGCAGCAAGATACAGGCTGATTTTTATGTTGGATTAATATGTGCCTAAACAGTTGTTTGGGTTAGATTATAGAGGTTTATGACATCAGTAAACCCAGTGTCTTTAAATGTATAAGGACTCAATGGAGTCAATCAAATAGCTTGCCGAAAATACAAGGTAACGGAAGAACTCATAAGTTCATATCTTGCTGTTGATAGTGATATTTACCATATCCAGCACAATCTCATAGATGTGTCTCAACTTCGAATGAATAAGCAAGCATATCCAAGCATTGTGACATATTGTAAAATAGTTTGAATAAGTTCTTATCTAGGATAACGCTCCACAGGTTGTATTCAGCGGTTTCATTAAGAAGTATATTTCTAACTTCGGCTACTCGTGAGAAGTAACACGTCTGTCAAAGTTAGGTATAAATTATTCCTGGTTGTAACCAAACATTTAAGACTATATAGTTTCATTTGATCTCATGCCACCAAGCAACTTGTACGGACGTTTTGACCATTAGTTGGAAGTTCGATTTTCACAGATCCTTCCACAAGTTTATTATCATGTGTTGAATATGGATGGATGACTCATTCGTGTTTGGCACCACACTTCGAATTCATCAGAAACTCTTCGGTGTATAGCCCTTGCCGACTGCTTACTACGTCACATGATGAATAATAAAATTACACAGTACAGATTATATGACGTAGTTCCCTCACTCACTATTTAAATACATAGTTGTAAGTTCATAGCTATATGGTATACCCTTGTGGGTCAGAGTAATTTTACATTGGTTTTCAGGAGAACCAGACACCGTCTAGACTTTCTTGTGACAACCTGAACAGTACACCCCGATCCCATTTAACAGGAGAGGCAGACCACTCAGGCTTAAAATTTGTAGTCCAAATAGTACGGCTCAATCCCGTTTCCAGGAGAACCAGACACTGTATAGGCCTTAACGCTGCAATCTGAATAGTACAGCTCAATCCTGTGGCGCAACCACACAGGTACCAAGCTCCCTGGTGGATTATTCGCATCATTCATATACGCATTCACGTCACATGTATATTTATTCTGATTTATGATCGATTATGTACAACACGAATAGGCCAAAGTTGACCTATTCCGCTTACACGACAGTCAAACTCATTAATGTCACCAATGGCGACATGCCTTACAATATTCCAATCACAATAACCCTTGAGAACACTGAAAAGCATCCATCAGTATAAATGAAATCGGTTAACCAGCAAACCAATTTTGTGCATGAACAATCATCAAACTTGCCAAAGAAATGTCAAACCATCCACAATATCGATGGCGAACCTCCAGTCTCATATGAGACCTTCAGCTCTACATAGCAATATAGCCCATACTACATACAACACATACGCTCGGTAGTAAACGAAATAACCCAGTCTGAAGCGTTAGGGCTTGACTAGCTCTTAAAACCTATTGTCTGACGTCGGAATATTATTACCAGACCACAAAAATAATTTTTATCGCATTTGTGAAATTTTAATTTTTCCGAATTTTCAGACCCTGAGTTAGGGCTAGTATTTTTACTATTTAAATACAGATATGGAAAATCTGGATTAAAGAAAGGTACTCATCAAGAGCTTATCGAGTGCTTAAATTTTCACCAACTCGAAGAGAGATGTGTATTATGACAGTAAAAAGGCCCACCATGTGGGTTTTTCAACAGATACTTGTCACTTAACACCCACCTATTTATTTTTGATTTCATGCGGCTATCTATTGAGGCACCATGCATGTGGGCTGCTCCTTAACATATTACACTTATCTTGCAAAAACATCTCGCGTTTTAACTCCCTCCTAAAACATGACGCATTATACGGTGGGCTAATCGAAAGTTGACAAATCAAACACTAACGTTGTGTCAGTTAAAAATCTCCTAATGGCAAGTATGTGATTGGTCAGAAAATAGATCCAATTTCTAGGAATATTTATATGCACATATGGGTGCCCATGTATATGAGTCCGTTTATCCCTGAGATATTCCAGTTTTACTATCGGTTCTCATACTTAGTAACCGTTTGGGGGTTGACGCTTGAGAAGCCAGTATATTACCATCAGTTTGGGGACATTGAGGGTTGTAACAGTGCAGCTACTGGATTATTATTTTCTTTACGCACGACAGCATACAATATATTAGATGCTTGATATCAGTAATGTCAAGCTTTTTTGAAGATTGTGAAGATGCCACAAGCATTCGTAGTTTGACAACGCCTTAACCTGTAACACCCTGTATAATCGAAGTGTGCCAACCCAGTCAAATCAGATGTCAGAAGTGAAGAGGTTCAAAGTTATATTTAAAAGGCTACCGATATCTTGAGAAGCGTTTGATCGAAGCTGGCTAACAGTTGTGGGAGATGTGTAGCATAGTACACCCGCTTATAATCAGGCGCGAATGCGTGACCGAGCGCTTTCAGCTAGGTGGTCATAGCACTCCTAGGGGTATTACCAGTTCAAATCCAAGTTTACTAACTTATATTTTAAATAAGGAGTTATATTACCATATTTTGTGTAACATAATCGTTAGTCCGATTTATAAGTTTTCACAAGGCATGTACAATTATTTTTATTTAATTTATTTACATAGATAAAATGTGGTGTTTTTAACCAATTTATATTCTATCCATAGGTGATAGATAAAATGCAGTAAATACCAAGGTCATTATCACAATGACACGACGAATTAACAAGATGAATAATAAGAGTTGAAATAATGGTAGTATTAGTAACAGTGAGAAAGATTAAACAATGAAGAATAAGAATAGAAAACAAGGGATAAATTCAAGGAACACTTACGGGCGATATAAAGTGAATGCATCTGTACCATTGTGAGCTGTCAGCCAACGTTTTAAACTTCTCATCACGGTTATCATGACGACAAAAACCAGCTAATCTGAAGCTGCTAACAAATCTAGACATAAAAATCAATCAGTTCATCGACTGATTGAATGTGTTAATTTTACCTCTAGTTTTCTTCGAACTAGAAGCCTTTAAAAATCAATGTCCAGAGCTAACTATAAAGGTATCTTTTGGTTTCTGTAATTGGTAGGTAAACTTTGACAGTAAACCTCCAATTTTATTTCTACCTTTTAATTTCGTCTGTTATTCAAATATATATCTGTGAAGACTTATATGGTAAGAGGTTGGTCTATTAAACTTAAAAAGTTTCTGTTATTTTTCTCAACAGCGCATACTTTTGATTTCATAATATGTAAACCAACAACCTTCAAAAAGTGAATTTAGAAACAACTACTCTAATTTAGTGCAAAAGCACTATTATTTATTAATTCATTGTACGGTGATGAAATAGCTTTTTGAATATCTTATCCACCCAGGTTATAGTACTCTTAATTTAAATTAACTTCACATGTTCAGTTATATATATATATATATATATATATATATATATATATATATATATGTCACATTTTAAGCCATTATAGGAGATAACCTATTGAAGAAAACTACTTCTTCAGATGGATGAAATGTCATTGGTTGGTTGCCTCTTTTAAAATGCTATGTTGTGACGTTTCCCAAAGACATTTTTACACTGTGTATATACGCTTTAGTCGTATGGTTGTTGTTATTCGTGCTCCTGGCTGCCTGTGGAATATACTTTCCCTCATATGAACCTGAACTTCTCCCTCTAGTTAGCGGGGCTGGACGCATTGGAATAGTTTAGCTGTTTTGTCGCTGTTTCGCTGATCCTTCCTTCCGTTCGCCGATTTTTAGGTAATCTCGTGATCTCTTCAAGTATAGTACTGCTGAATAGATTAGTACGCAATTGATGAATTTGATTAAAAAACTACTGTATAATCACGGTATGATTGATAAAATACATGCTGTAAATTTCGATACTCTTTCAAAATGAACAGAAAATTTCTTGAATGAGAAGTAAAACAAAGGTATACTGATTGCGTTTTTATTATTACATATATTTCCATATATGTATAAATGGGAAGAAATGAGAAGTACAATCCCATAAACTAAAAAAATGCTTTCTTTCACATTCTAATCAACCATATATAGTGATATTCATCGAACATTCATACACATATTAAGGTTATTGAATATTTGTATGATTTTTAGTTTAGAACGGTGGAGCATTATCTGGCCACGTTCTAGTCAATGGATTTTCACTAAGTAAGCTGACATTTCTTCGTGGTACATCAACACCGTCCACGCCTATTCGTTTAATCCATGACAATAATGAATAAAAGAATATTTGTGAAGATGTCTGCTGTCTACAATCTTCTTTATGTATAACTAGCAGATTATCTGGTAGAGAAAATGAAGACTTTACCAGAAAATTAATAAGATATAATACTATACACAAGGAAATAAAATATGATAACAATTTCGTGAATATACTACTACATAAACGTTTAGATAAGTATGATGTTGTTCTATACAAAACACTTCTGTTCTGATAATGAGAATAATGAACACTAGAACCAGGCAGTGGAAGAGGTGATGATGGTGATGTTGAAGGTGAACTATAGACAGGAAATAAATGAGGTTTAATATTACGCATAAATGGTAAACTGTTTTGTAATAGTTTTTTTTGAATAAATAATTTACAGTGATCATAGTTGTTTTTAAATACACTATTAATTGAATAACTTAATGAATTATTATGATCATCATCATCATCACCATCAAGATCAAGATCAGAAGCACCATTATTATCATGATGTTTATTGGCGCAATTGATTTCACAAATATTTCTGTTCAATATTGTAGACATTTGATTCAATGGTGAATTTATTAATAGTTCATCGTTTAAATGAACATTTCTTTTGTAAGATATTTTGAATGTACTTTTTATGTTTATTTTACCTGATTTATAAGAAGTGCTGATGATACAAATGCAGTTTGGTGAATTCATGAAATTACTGATGATAGTTGTATTAATTGGCATGATCGATTTTTCCGACATATTTTGCATTGAATTCGTTAGATTAAAATGAAATTGAATTTGTCTAATTTTGTTGTTTGATGATTCTGTCAGATTATTGCTGAAATTAGACTGTTCATTACTATCATGATGAAGAACAGGATAAGGATAAAACTGTAAACCAGTTATTTGTTTTAGATCAAATAATTTTGTCAAAGGTTTAGCATGGAAATTATGTACACTTTGCATTCTACTCTCAATAGTTGATAAATTGTTATTTTTCAAAATGATATTATTATAATTTGGTTTCACCATAGCAATTAAATATATTGATTTAGGGGTTTGATGAATACTAGAAAATTATACGAGAAACGAGAGATAAAATAAATTCACCATATAAGTGTATAAATGTGCATACACATACAAAGCAGAATATCATAAGCAAAGTAATTGCTAATATAAAACTGAAAAATACAGTATGAAATAATCGAACGATTACGTAAAAAAAAAGTGACTTCGCGTTTGCATTATTCAACCACTACACATTAGTTAACAAGATTGTTTTACATCTGACTAATCAGTTAATAAGATCACAAACAAAAAACGTAAATTGAGTTTAAGACTGTTTTAATATCTGAATGATTAAATATTACACTGACTAGAAAACTCAACAGATCAAAAAAAAATTTTATTGATGGCTTGTCGAATGGTCTATTACATTCAATATTAAACAGAGTTAAAAGAAAAGAAAACTATGAATTTTCGTTCAAGTTATTCTAATAAAAATATATTTTTCATCAAGGATTAACTTTATCTAGAAAGTTATTATAAATGAAGAAGTTTTGGGAGTTCCCTCAAAAGTCGGCACCCTACGATCTTATACATGATTAGACTTAAGATAGCCTTCAGGTTTTAAGATGATCACGTTGTATCTGCATTACTGAGTCGAAAGCCAGTGGTCCACATTTTCAACTTTGATGGTCGACCTACACTGTATATTGACTGAAGTTAGAAATGTTAGGTGATTAGATTGCACGAGATGATGGGCTCACCGTGAGACTTCAGTTTACTTAGTTTTATATGGGAGCATAAATGCACCCACTTGAGAATTACTTAAAATAAAATCAAACATCTGTTTAGCAATCCTCAGTTTTTGATGGTTTCTTAACTGGCTAGTATCAGTAATTCATTACAACAACCAACTTTCATCAGTTAAATCAATCACCGTTAGTTTAGAGAAATTTTATAAATTGTCGCTCTCTATCTTTAAATGATTGAACTTGGAAATCTGAAATATTGGATTCCAGGCTCAATGGATTAAGGCTTAGGGGGTTGCGGTAAGGTCTGAAGATACTGCATGTGATCGCTGATGGGGTCATAGATGATTACTACTAGGAAGCCTCCTACTAGGACCAAACAATTATAGAATGCTACCTAGTTTGAAACAGGTGTTTAAATAAAGTCAGTGTTTCTAAAGTAAAGCCATGAAATGTTTACAAACCATTTAACTAAATATTATTCTCATGTTTGCAGTTTCTCTCTTGATTGTTACCATTGAATTACCAAGTTAGAGAGGTGAAACCTAAATTTCGTAGCAAACCAACATTTTTTAGCATAAAAGTACGGTTTATGGTAAAAAAAAAAGCTTACATCATGTACGACTACCAATGAAAAGTAATCAGTTAACACGTATAACCTAATTAACATAATTTATTAGTTAGAATGATCAAAATAATTCTAAGCCATTTTGTCAGTCAAAACGTGGAAACTCCACCTATGTATATCGGTTTAAGTTACCATACTCCATTAGCACACCGAGATGAAGTTGTCAAGCCAAATCCCGAAATAGTAGAGGCAGTAACAGTATCAGTAGAAATAGGGAAGATTATATATCAAAGATACGACTCGAAAAGAAAATATAAATTAGTGAAATTAAAACGTTGTGAGGGATTTAGAATCTCAGAATTCGGGGGAAAAACAAGGAATGGATGCACTTGAGATATTGTAAATGATTTTAAGCCATACCATTCAAAGTCTCTAACCGTTGGTCATGATAAACACGCGGAACCCAACCAGATAGTCTATACCTATTAACAAAGCTGAGTCAAATTGCCAGTGAATTCATCGACTAATACCATGTTTTGGTTTGGCCAGACCATTAGTACTGATAAGGCGTTTAAGATAAGTGAAGCGGTCGATGCGTTCAACTGCTTCACTCCCTATCAATAATTCGGGCAATGACGTAAGCCAATCCTGAAGTAACATTTTATATTCGAAAGTAGAGAACCGCATCGCAAACATGCTCCCATTGTTACTTAAAGTGGTCAGAAAAATCTGCATTTTGTCAGCGTCTTCATCGAACAAAACTAGATCATCTGTGTATTTTAAGTCAGTAAGTGGATCTCCAGGTAGAAGATGAACTCCTGAAAAGTCAAACGATGAAAGTATTATCTATAAAAGCATGTCTATGACAAAGTTAAATAAAAATGAGTAAAGCGGACAAACTTGATAAATAGTAATTGAAGTAAAAATACTCAATGAAAAGATATTAATAATTTAATGTTGAACACAATAATCCAAGAAAAAATGAATTATAAAAACATGGATTGACGTTAAGCAAAAAGAATTGTGCAAATTAATAAGAAATACTATGCTGAGACAATTAATTACTGAATTACAGTAGTATGAATTAAAAAATTTTTTACCAAAAAGTGAACAAATTTAAACGGCAATAATTAATAATAATAACACTGTTGGATGCCGGTTCAGTGGTCTAGAGGTAAAGCGTTCATGCGCGAGATCAAAGGTCCTTCGTTCAAATCCCACGTGCGGGATCATGAATGCGCACTACCGAGGAGTCCTATACTAGGACAAAACGGCCATCCAATGCTCTCAGATTTTCAATGGTGGTCAAACATTCGTCGGTTTAAGATCTCAGTTACGACTCAACAATCTCCACAACCCCATACAGATAATAATACGCCACATGTATACAAGTATAAAATGAAAGATAAAAAATACAATTAACAAACACCAAACACGAATATATACATTATTTGTTGACATGTATGTAAAGCCACAGAAATGATATACAGAACAGAGATGGGGGAACAACAACAACGAACTGTAACAATTAAAATATATTATGTTTACTTGTTTAACTCGTCTGATGATAAATTAGAAACGATCAAGTTGTTTAATTGTGAATTGGCTAAATCCTAATTTTTGTACGTAAGAATAAGAAAATGAGCATCTCAATTATGTTAATAAATAATAATAATAATAATAATAATAATAATAATAATAATAATAATAATAATAATAATAATAGTAATAATAATAATAGTGAAGTGTTATCGGTAAATGCCATTACAAGAAGAAAACTATAAATACAATAAGCAATGTCAAAAATAACATGAATTGAAGTCTTCCTTCTCTAGAAAATATCTATTTGTTTAATATTTCAGGTACAATTTGTTGAGCAATGTTAACCAATCAGTATGGAATACAAATTAAAAATGAACCTATAGGGAGGTGTGGATAAAGCGGCTACTACCAATTACCTTTCATCATTCAATACATACTAGATGTAATACAATAATATTATTAAGTTATTAATCTTCACGATCACAGTGACAAATATGTTACGACTAATTTAGTTGCGTTTAAATAACTAAAAGTTAAGATTGAAATGCATACGTTTATCACTTAGTACACTTTAAAAGTACTCAGGTTTTTTCTCAGTGGGGAGGGAGGAGGAGGAGGGTAATGTTCAATAGTCCAAGAGCAGAAAGTCATGAATTCAACTGATACAAAACATTAAATGAAGTAATAAGTTATAATTTCTATTTTTAAAAAAATATCATCGCATTTAAAATAGTTAAACGAATAAATGAAATTCAGTTTTGTTTAAAGGCTTACATATAACCTATACGATACAACTTGAAATAAAGTCTAAAGCTTTATTTGACAAAGTAGATTGTAAATGTAGTCAATTAAAAATTGTTGAAAAACAAATGATGAACTGTATCTTTATTCATTTTATTTTAGATTCTTGAACTGTTTCAAATATGTTTGTTGAAACAAATGGGGTCATGTAAACAATGTTAAAAGATAATTATAATAACATTCAAAAACGATATATTTTAGGTATTTGCAAAACAATTAAATCCAAAGCATTTCTTATTGTGAAAAAGTTTCATTAGATGTGTACACTTAGATGCCAACCTAGTGGTATAATGGTCAAGAGCTTGATGTGAAATCGGAAGGCCCTGAGTTTCATCATTAGCAGGAGTTATGAGTACATATTACTGAACAGTTGCATACATTAATTAAAAATCCATCTAATGCTCCCTGGTTTTCAGTGGTATTCAACTTGAGATGAGTATGTGATAAATACTATCTGTAAATCAAACTAATCTTTACAAAAACCCCTTCATCTTTCAGTAATAGATCAAATGTTCACAAATGGAAACTAACAAAACTTGCACACAAAAATGAATAATTTTTTCTAATTATATTTTAAATTGGGGTTCAGTTCGTTTTTCATTTCATTTCTGGACTTTTCAACCGAATGCATATGCATTCTTATAGTGATGTTTACGGTAGAACTTGAATACAGTACCCACCCACCTCTTCAAATTCTAAAATATTATTCACTAAACAACTGAATTAAGATGATAACTATCAGTTGTTCAATATAGATAAGACAGTTAATATGCTTCCCAATGTTGGTTATTGGAATTCATATGATAAGTTCCAGTTTATATATAAACTCTATGTAGATCAAGGTGTGACTTTTAAAATAATCCATAAAATGTATATCCTGAATTCAAAAATGACCGCTATATTCTAAAATTTAATTAGCTTACAAATAGAGAAGAATATGAAGACACTAGGTATTTAAAAAGTTCATTAACCGGTATAGATCGATCAATTCAGAGATAAATATTAATAACAGGAAAATACAAAACTTTACATAATAAATATTTATTATGAAAGACAAATCTTTCATTTTTAATAATAATAATAATAATAAACGTAACTAAATGAAATCTTACCAAATCTATATCCAATAAATTTGAACGATTGTTTTTCTATAAGGCAAAACAAATAATAAATCAAGTTAAATAGAATAGATCATCAGTTTCAATGTTCAATGATGGATTGGGAAAAAAACAACTGAGATCATGATTTAATTCAGTATGATTTCGGCTTAATAATAATGCTTTATGAAGTTTATTCATTATAATATTCTTTTTACTAATTCATTATGAAATTTTTTCAGTATAATATAGAATATGTGTTTTGTAATAATTCAGTATAATATCCATTACCATATTGTTGTTCATTCTTTTCATATCTGTCTCCGTTTCTCGGCGTAATGTGTTCTTTGGTCTTCATTTCCTCCTTTGATCTTGAGGATTCCAAGTGAGGGTTTGCCTTGTGACGCAGTTGAGTGATTTCCTCAGTGTGTGTCCTATCCACTTCCAGCGCTTCTTCCTGATTTCTTCCTCCGCTGGGATCTGGTTTGTTCTCTCCCACAGTAGGTTGTTACTGATAGTGTCTGGCCAACGGATCCGAAGTATTTTGCGTAAACAGCTGTTAATAAACACGTGTATCTACTGAATAATGACTTTCATAGTTCTCTAGGTTTCCACCCCATACAGAAGAACTATCTTGACATTTGTATTAAAAATTCTGACTTTGGTGTTGGTTGACAGTTGTTTCGAGTCCCAGGTGTTCTTCAATTGTATTTTCGTTTAAATACGTGATATTCGTTAACTACTTATTAAACGTTAATAAAAATCGATAAATAATTAAATATATTTGCTCAAAGTTGTTGTCATGAATTTTTGGAGGTTAAATAAAGTGCTTATCTGAAATCAGTGATAGTTTTCTTCTTTGAGTCATGGAAATTATAGTTTCCTACTATTGAGATCAGTTTTCCCATGGTTATAACAAGAGTAAACTGTTTTTTATGCAAGTAACATAGAAGAATTAATGAGAAAAACAAAGTTAATTATGTACTGATTAAAGAAAAAACATAGAGAATCTTTATACAATTTTTCCCATTGCTAAATTTGAATAAAGAGAGATCAATGAACTTAGTAGGGTATATGATGAATTCATTCATTTCTTGGATTCTCGTCAGCTATTTACAATTAAGAAACAATGATAGTAATTATATGCAACTAATGTACATACTTTATACCATTATACTTATGTGTGGGCGAGAATGATTGGTTGTCTGTTTAGTCAGACAGGTGTCAGATGAGTTATATATTCCCCAATCCTTATTATTATTATTATTATTATTATTATACTCACTTATTATTGATTGTTCATTGTTGTTGGATTGTGTCAGGTTTCAGTGTGGAAATATACTTACGTTGTGTTCAGGCTAATCACGTGTTCTTAATCTGAGTTGTGTTGAAGTCCTGTAGAATAGACACTGGAAGGGAATCTAGTATAGATATTCGTCTAAGTAAATTAACGTGGAAACCCAACCTTTATAACATTAGACGAAGTAAAACCGAGCGTTATAACATATACTAACGAAGATTATTAGAATAATGACATCAAATATCGAAGTATTATACAGTGGTAAAGTGAATAGATATTTGTTACTAAATGGGAAGATTTAGAAGGAAAATTTTAAAACACAAAGAGACATGTTTCTAGAATCCATGAAATAAATAAGTTCATGTTATCCTGTTATGCTCATTGTTCTCACTTTATTTTAATCTGGAGAATTGTTGAAAGCTGTGAAAGACTAGATAATAATAATAATAATAGTCAAATTGTACTAATCTAATACGATAAAACAGTGATAGTACTCGCTCGAGTAATTGTTACTTATATCCATTACTAAATAAGTAAATTAGTTAAAAAGAACATGACACATGATACAATGGATATAAGTAAAGGCTAATAGTTAATAGTATTAAATAATATATTTAAATATAAAATCATGATGATGGCAATCACTTAATTAGTTAGTTAAAATTACCATAGAATCATAGTACATTAAACACAATTGAATGAAATGATCAAGATGATAATCAACTAGAAAAAAACAAACTCATTTATATTACATTGAAACATTGACTTCCAATATAATAAGAAAAGAACATACATATACCTTTATCAATGAAAAATGATCAGATTCAAAGCATTCTGAACTACTACTATTATCATTATCATCATATAACTGTGAATTAGATTTCATTATATAATCATCTTTCATTAATAATGATAAATCAATATATTGATTTTCCATGATAAAATGATTAGTAATATTATGTAAAGAATAATTTTTATTATTTATGAATGATAATTTATTATTATTATGATTATTTAAATATGTAAATAATTGATAACATTTTAAACATAAATTTTTATTTAAATTTAATAAATGAAAGAAATTTATTTGAAGTTTTACAAGATCAATTTTCAATGAATTAACATCGACATTATTATTATATTCTTCATTAGATTGTAATAATATATTATCTAAGATGGAATACCAATCATTCTTCTCATTATCCTTTATTAACATTAATAATAAAGTTGTATAATTAAGCCAATCAATTAATCGTAATTTAATTGTATACAATAATTGAGCACATGATAATAATTCAGATAATGAAGAGGATGATGATGGTGATGTTGATGATGAGAATGTGGAAGAGAATAATGGTGATCTTGTCGTTGATGAAATAATGGATTCTGATGATTTATTTAATTTTTTTTCGACATTGAAACTTTCTTCTTCTTTTTCTTTTTCATCATTATTAGGGAATATAACATGGATATGTTGAAAATAATAATCTAAACGATTTTTTGTATAAGTTAAATGTTTTTCAAATTCATAAATTAAATAATTTAAACTTTTTTCATAAATAAATTTCTAGTGATTTATAAAATAAGAAAATAAGTAAGTGTAAAGAAAGATCTTGAAAATGACAATAATAATAATAATAATAATGGTGAAATCAAGGGTCAATGAACATATGCCTAGATGGCTTCAAAATCAATGATCCGATCAATGTGAGAGTTAGAAAACCAGGTTCATCGATAGCGAAACATATAATTGAAACGAGGGCACAAAATTGACATTCATACAAGTTTTAGAACATTGTATAGAAATTGTCAAGGACGAATTCTTAAGCCTTGGCTATTCGTAAATTTAAACCTCCCTTATGTGTACAAAAACAATTTGTCGTAACCTTGAATTTACCTTGGTAATCCTTAAGTCATTCTATGGCTTAAGATAACGCGACAATTTCTTATTCTTTCTCTCCCCTTTGTTATTTTACTTGAACTTTCATTTAATTGACCTTTATTAATTTTCATATAAAAATGCCTTAACAAGTATATGTGTGACCAGTTTGTTCGAAATTTATAGCGCAAATACATCACATTTTTCAGATAAACTCAGTCTTCTCATTGTTCTATCGAAATTTATAAAAGGGACTAATTGCTTTAAATAATGGTGTGATTTGAATGTAACTTATTTATAAGCTTTATTATTTTTTGTATGATATAATTACTAAGTTAATTAATTAAAGATAATCAGTATCATATTTTGAGTTTAACTTTTGAGATAATTGGCATATTTTAGTAGCGCATAACTGTAATCTTTAAGAAAATAATACTTCTGATGCGGACTCGAACGTACACATCATTTATCCTTATATGATCTAGAATAAATGTTACTATTGAGCTATTTCATCAACAATTGAATGATATTTACTTAGAAATCATCATCTATTGCTTTCATGTACTTTTATGTATCTCGATTTATAGTAACAAGTATCCAATATCCTACAGATTATATTATTTTCTGGTTAAAACACTTCTCTTGTGTTTACTCATCTCTTTTCTATGTCTCCCTCATAGGATATAATTTTTACAATGTTGACAATTTTTAGTGTTTACATAACAGACATCTTTGTTTTTCTTTCTTCTAGAAAACAAAAAAAAAAGAGAATGTTGTGTTTGAATGAACCAATGATGTCTTTGTATACCTTTGAATCTTTGATTTCGAATTCCAAATACAGTACATTCGTTTGTGGTTATCTAGTACTTCTTGGTCCGATTACGTTATTCCTGGGATTCTTAGTTCATACTATAATTCAAACACTCCTAATTATCATATTGGCGTCATGATGGAGCCTGTGATGGAACGGTTGGACATACATTCAGATTTTGATGCTTTTGAGAATTACTTTGAAAGGTTCGAAATTTGGGCTATGACCAAGGGAGATGATGAGGATGTTAACATTGTAGCACATTTCCTCACATTCATCGGAAAAGAAGCATATAGCTTATTAAAAACTCTGGCTTTACCGGAAAAACCCATTTCACTTTCTTATACAACTCTCAAGGATCTACTGCTAGACTATGTTAAGTATACAAATTTCGAATGCGCTGAAGGAGGAAGATTTCGTAAAACGATTCATGAAGATATAAAAAATTCCACTACATTACGTCATCCCAACCCAGTGCATACTCAAGGTTATGCAGATAATTCATTGAGGAGTTGCGATGCATTTCACGAAGATGGGCACAAGTTTGCTCAACGTTTGTCCTGTGGCAGGTTCCACTCTTTTAATTCATGTAAATTTCGTAATTCTAAGTGCTTTAAATGTGGTGATAGTAAACATATTCAGTCAGTCTGTAATACTAATGTTCATCTTACGGCAACTAATATTAAGTCTTGTAATTCTGATTCTACTGAGTCGAGTATTCATAATGATCATTTATCTTGATCAACGATTTCAAAAGACAGTGTATAGTCATATAGCAGTTCAGAGTTAAATGAAACTCAGAATTCTTGGGAGACAACAGTTTCTAATCAATCAATTTATCAGAATTCTCATGTTATTGTACTAGATATGGTTTTTCATAATGATTCGCATATTTCTGACGAAACTCCTTGCAAATCTGATGAAAATATGTTGAATGAACCTAGTCATAATCGAAAACCTGATATAGTTTTGGTAGATGCTGATTTTTCTAATGATACTTTACTCTGCAATGACATTCTTAATAAATTCGAGGAAACTATTTCAGAAGAATCAAATCTTGATGTCATACTAAATATTATTTGTCCCCATAATTCATTTGTTTTTTGTGGGAAGCTTGTTCAATGCGAAGCACAAGTACTAAATGAGCTCGATTTTATAATTCGAATGATTTCATATCAACTGCTGTTTATCCTTATCACAAAAACACTTCTAATGTTTACTCTAACCAATGTGAGAAATTTGTTTTAAATGTAACCACATCATTCATAATTTGGGGATATAATGATCCAACAGTATTTCGTGGGGGAGGATAGTCTAAAAGTCTATGGTTCAAATTCTAGGTAACAGCGGTTTCAGTACACAACTGACATGCTGATTACAGAGAAATAAAATAAATAATATTGTTCTAACCATATAACTATATAAATATCGATCGATTTAGTATTCTTTCTTTATTTCATTCTTATATAAAATCATAGTTTAAATCAAAATAACATAAATAAAAACCCATTTAGATAATCGATCTATTCATATGTATTTATGTGTGCATGTGTGTGTGTGTGTACAGATAGATACATGAGACATTAATCAATAAGAGATTAATGTATATTCTTTGATTATCATTTGAAATATACCAATCAGGCATTAGAAACAAAAATTGAATTTATATTGAACAATAAATAAACTTGAATGTTAAACTTTTGGCTAAAAGTGTGTGTGCTTCTTTCTCTTTAAAATAAAAAGGCTTTGTCTAATAATAATATAATAATAATAGTAATAATCATAATAATATAGTAGATGGAATAATGTATAGAGTGACCTATTTTATAAAAATTAAAACTATGCTTTATACTTATTTGATCATCAGGATAGGGGTGTGTGTGTGGAGATTGTAATAATTTTAATGGTTGGATTTGAGTCGATTTAAGCTGAACCACCAATGAAAACCTAGAAACATTTGATGGGTGTTTCATCCTACTATAAGATTTCTCAGCAGTGTACATCCATAATCCCGCACGTGGGATTTGAACCCATGACCTTCAGTCTTACGTGCGAACGCTTAACCTCTCTAGACTACTAAGTCAGTATCCGATGTTGTTAATGTCTAATATCAACCAACACAAGATATTGCGCGACTGTCCACCATTATCTTCAGTGAGTTACTTCCTCACAAGAGATACAGTTGAATTCTACTGGTCAAAACTTTTCAACAGAACTCCAGGAAATTCATTTTGAAATCAGTCACTAATGAGCACATGATTATTACCAGAATGGGGGGAATATTAGTTTTAATGCTTGAATTCATGAGTTCATTTACACTAGACCGCTTATTGATTAGACTGAAAGAATTTAAAAAGTTTGTTTTTAGATCATTCAAATATTAATTAATTAAAATTTATTCAGTTGTTAATTGATGTGGTTGATCTAATTGAAATTCAACCATATTGAGTTACAAATTCTGATTAGATTCTCTTTAATATAAGATCCTGAGAGTTGGATATTATAATCAAATTTATGCAAAAAATTCTGTCTTAAAGCCAAGTATTTGAAACCTTTTTTACCAAGTGAATCAATAATATTTTAAATTTTATTAAGGTTATCAGTTGACAATAAGTTTATGAATCAAAACCTGTTTTATCAAGTAGAAATTATTGTAGTATTTCAGTCAATCAGTCAGTTACAACGTAGGACCAGGCACATATGTACACCGGTCCAAGTTGACATACCTCATTAACACAACAAGATGGACACCGGATTCATAAAAGTAGTTAATTCAGTAGTGGTAATATATGAAAGAAAGATTGCATATAAGAATATAGTACAGGAAGAAAGAATTAGTTCATAGAAAGAAAGATATGAAGCGATTTTAATCTCTTAGTTTAAGGGAAGATAGAGAGTGTATACACCGACGCCATTGTGATCGATTCTGAGCCATGTCACACACAGTCTCCAGCCATTGGTTACGATTGTCACGCGAACCCCAACCAAATAGTCTGCATCTCCCAACATGGCTCAGACTAGAAGTTAGTGCCCCTAACTTTCTCCCAACCATCTCCAACACCGGTTAGCATTCCACGTCATGGTAATCAGTGTTCAGGCATACGTAACACGTGGGATTTTAGTATTTAATCTAGTTTGCACTATATAGTAGAGATCTATTGAAACGTTTACACTCTATAAACCATAGGGTAAGTATATTCCTTAAGATAATCTTGAAAGATTATTTACTTCAAATGATTACCAAGTTTAAGAGACTAGATTCAACTAAGCCAGTTTTCTTTTTTACCAGTAATTATGGAATAGGTAAGGAGTACTCGGGTACACTGAATTCCAGATGACTGACTGTGTGATGTACGGATAACAATATCAGATTGCTCATCATCAGTGTATTGTCACGACTGTTAACAGTTTCTAGTGAATTAAAAGCGATTATTAGTAAGTATATTAGAAAAAAATAATTTACGGCCCAAAGTCTTATTGTTTATTTTAATCGATCTAATACGAAGAATTTAGAGACCTGGAACTAAAAAGTCAGTCAGTTTAAGCGTCAGACGACTTTCCATAAGGAGATCCATCATCAAAGTCTCATATATTGAGGTATACAACGTTTCAATGCAGTGAGCAGTTTTTATCTTAACTAAAAATATCACTGATGACATCAGTTATTATTAACGCATAAAAGTAGAAGCTACGACAATGTGAAACACATTCTTGTACTATTTTTAAACGTTAACCATTCAAACAAGTAAAAAGTTAATAAGTAGACGACATATGGTTAGAAACCATTTTTAAAACATTTATTTATAATTAGAGAAAGAATCTGAAACCTGTGAGAGAGCCCAACTGAAACTCAAACAAATATTCTTACAGGTGATCAGAAATTGGACAGTAGTCCTCAAAGTTAATCATCAGTCTTGACGAACAACAAACATAAATGATGAATTCATCACTTGACCTATACATAATAAGTCATCAGGAAATCACTGTACTCATAACACTCGCGAGTTTTTTGTAAAACATTCTCATTAAAATCGTGAACCGATCAGTGTTAGATTTGATTGCGGCGTGCTGAGTCATGGATGCTCACTGCCAAGAAGTCCCGTACTAGGGTGAAACGACCATCCAGTGCTTCCAGGTTTTCAATAGTAGTCTAACTTAGATCGGTTCATGATTTCAATAAAACCGAACGATTTCCATAACCCTATACTGATAAAAAAAATTCATTCAATCAAATTACTTACATATTGTAGTTTCGAAATCCATTTTTTTGTACCTACAATCAGTTTTCGCCAAACAATATTCAATTCATTCAATAATTCGTCTTGATCAATGGTAACAACAAGTGATGTACTACTACTTGGTACAGTTGACTTCAATAGAGATACCGCAGAATTTATTCGAAAATCATAAGCTTTAAGTTGACCCAGGAATTTTATCAACTGATCGCATGATGTAGCCAAATGAGCTAATGATAATGATTCACCAACTTGATCAACAGAATGAACACTCTTATCGTCGTCGTCGTCACCATCATCATGATATGCGTCCAGTTCATTTAAATGACGCTCCACCTTGATTAGACTCAGTTTAACTTGAGACAGTAAATCATACACATCAGAATTCGATTGAAATGTTTTAGTGACAATAGTCGACGGATTTGAACACAATTTATGAACGGGATTGTGTTTAATAGGACTTCTTTTGTTACTTATTAAAGAAGAAAAGCAAACAAGCATAATAAGTTGATATTTTAAAACGTCAATAAAAAAATTAGTAAACACAACAATGTTTACATGTGGGGTGGCTATGATAGGATGATCATTCTAGTCAGTAGTAAGATTTAGATTATGGGTGATAGGCATTGAATAGAGTATTTAGATCGGGAGTGATACATGCCATAAAGATCCTTCAATTGTTCTTTAGGGTGTCTAGGTGACTGATTCATGTCATCCCATAAAATATATGGTAAATGTGACTTTTTATTGTACACTCTGGCGTGGAATGATTGCTAGCATAAGAGGAGTGGTCTAAAAGAAGGTTAAAGTGAGTGAATAAACCAAGACGTGGTATCAACTTGTAGGAAGCTACCGAATGTTGAACTAAATTCGCAGTTGAAGTTCTAGAGAAAATCATAATCTATGATTGGAGATATTAGGTGTTAGGATCCAAAGTCGGCTGTAGAAGTGGTGTAGATACTTTTATTCGCTATATGCTTCTAAATCTCAAGTTCCAATATAAGTTCCATCACATCAGGTTAGTTGGAGATCAATAAGAAAGTTAAGTCGAGCTGTTAAATCTCCTGGTGTTCATGACGGTAGTGTGGTGTTTTGTATATGTGTAAACAGAATGAAAATAAGATTTGATCGATAGATGTCATTAACCTTATGAGTAATCCAATGAGAATAATCAATTCTCATTCAGTTCTCAACTTACAGAAGAATATTTGTTATTGAATAATCCACCTACATAGAAATCTTTTGTGAATACATAAACTTAAAGAAAGCAACAACATTACAGGCAGAAAGAAAATCAAAATAAAGCCTATCGTCATTACTGTGTACTTCGCTATGTTGCTGCTCATAAACCAACTCAGTCACTCCATTCTATTTTTGCAGGCCGAAAGACAAATTCAATATCATTTACAAAACAAGTGGTACAAATTGTGATGAACACTACACTAGACACCATAGACGCTATTATCATCTATGCATACACAAACGGAAACTATCAATGAAACAACACGGTATGTTATCATTGATATCAATCAATGTAGACAACTAAAAACATAAACTCAAATGGAAGAATATGGAAATTCTGGATTGTGAGGATTCAGATCAATCAACAATCAACAGACAAACCGATTTAGACCTAATCTACAAACCTGTTTGAAAAAGGTCAATCAATAAACTGGGCGTTATCGTAATTATCGACTGCACAGAATAAAGGCCATATAGTGTAGGAAGGCGGTGGTAAGCAATGTTTATCAAAACTTACTCATCAATAACTATTTTTGAAGTGATGTCATCATTATCAACAGAATAATCTGTTGACTTTGCAGTGTATGATTTGGAGACTAACTGTTTATTCTTTGAATCCATCAATAATAACGCTGATGATGACAACGATGGTGATGTTGATGAAGATGGCTCAGTGATTAATAAATCAGATGATTTTCTCGATATTACGCTGCTATGTTTCTCTTTTAAACAACTCTTATCTAAATCTATTTGATCAGCAACATTTGACTGGATTTCTGTGACAAAAATTCAGAAAAGACAATGTTTTATTTTTTAAATGAAGAAAATATTTTTGTAGACAAATAATTTTCGAATTGAATAACAATTGTGGTGAATTGATTCATTATTTGGAAAAATTCTATGGATAGGCTTAATACAAGTGAACTGAAAAAAACAGAGTAGTTAGTTTAGTAAAAGTATGGCACTGTAACACAATTTGGCTAAAACCTAAGAACATTTGTGAGACATTTCACATTTATATCAAGTGAGATGGAGCTTCAACACTGGTTTACATTGAAACTTTTTTGAACGGTGAAATAAAGTGAATTAGTTCAGTTAACAGACAGGAAAATGTTTAGAAGTTTCTCAAGTAATAGGAATATGGTAGATTGTACATAGTTCAGTCTCATTATTTTGTGCCCAAAACATATAATCAATGTATTTAACTAAAGTAAAAACGATAAACACAACAGGATATATGATGAATTCATTCATGTCGTGGATTCTCATCATTTGTTTACAATTAAGAAACAATGATAATAATTATTTACAACTAATGTATATACTTTATATCATTATACCAACGAAGATTAATAGAATAATGACATCAAGCATGGAAGAATTATAGAGGGGTAAAGTGAATAGATACTTATATGTTACTAAATGGGAAGATTCTAGGAGGGTATGTTTCCAAAATCAATGTTTAAGTTACTTAATAACAACTATTAAAATTGTGTGGATTGACACAGAAAGACGAATAAAACTCATAAATGACATAAAAATCTTTATTAAAATGACAAACTATGTATATTGATTGTAAATAATATGTACTAGTGTTTATAGGATGTTAGCGACTGAAGGGAACTTCAAAATGAATGAGTCTATCTTATATACTGCTATGTTTATTGTTCTTTAATAAAATTCATCAATGGGAAAATAGCCACTGAAGTTGTACTAATCTACAGGTGCTCTAAGACGCAAAATCGATTACTTGGTTGTTTTTATGTATTAAAGTGTTTGTGTTTATTTGATCTTCGTTGATATCTCTGTTCACTAAAATACTTCATCTTTATTGACTCATTTTAATACGTAAATACTTTTTTGTACTGATGAGAAATGTGTTATAAAATGTATTGATTATATTATATTCAACGTTCTGTTCTGTCCTTATCGGTACTGATTGTACCACTACAATACATGGTTGAATCAGTGACTAAAGTCGAGTGATTTTATCACTGAATAATAACGATTCAATTAAAATTATTAGGCCGCAGCACTGAAGTAAATTAATTTCATAGGCCATATAATCTATATAGGCAGATATATAGATATAATTTACAACCTTAAATGAATTTGCATTCACTAACGTAGGTTCGAGCCCACTGTATTGATCTTGATTAAGGCAGCCAATGAATTAGATTACTGGTTTAAAATTACCAGTATATGCATGTTGACGAACATATGGAAATCAAAATAACTGTCCGTCAACCAATATCAAAGTTAGAATCTTCAACACAAACGTCAAGACAGTCCTACCGTACGCAGCTAAAACTTCGAGAATTACCATAACCATCATCAAAAGGGTACAACTATCTAAAAACAGCTTTTTACGTAAGATACTCAGTTTCTGTTGACCGGATATAATCAGCAATAGCCTACTGTGAGAGAGAACAAACGAAATTAAGAAAAGAAATCGGAAGTGGATAGGACACACATTGTGGAAATCACTAAACTGCATCATGAGGCAAGCGCTTACTTGGAATCCTGAAAGGAAACGGAAAACAGGAAGGTCAAAGAACAAACTGCGTCGGGAATTGGAAGCAGACGTGAAAAGAATGAGTAACAACTAGAAAGGATTGACCAGGACAGAGCTGGATAGAGAATACTGGTGGGCGGCCTATGCTCATGTACGAGGGGTAACAGGAGTAAGTATGTTAATTTTGCTTATGGGAGAGATATTCGAAATGCAGTGTGTAATGTTCTGTGTGCATATATAAATCTTACCATGCTACAATGACCGAATGAAGCCTTAGACGTTGGTCAAGATTACATTACTCGTTCTCCTGACGATTAAATTTTAATATCGATAGAAATGAAGAACGAGTATTCTGCCCTACATTTTCGAAGAATTAACTATTCGTTCAAATCTTGACGAACATTCATATCAAGCTAAACATGCTTTTAAAATAAAGATAATAAAAACACAAATAAATGCTATCAAATCCGATTTTACGGGATTATAGTCAATAATGTAGTATAAAATAAATTTATCAATTCTGCAATGTTTTTTTTTTCATCTATCCAAAATGATGCTCTCAAATGTGTTGGTTACTGTTCTTTGGAGAACGAGTTATACAAATAGCTAAACAACAGTAGTTGAATAAGTTTATGCATGCCGAGTACTTTGTTCTGTACTCAATTGTGCTGTGGTTGACAGTAATTATGTAGCACTGAACTATCATCTGATATTATTTGTGATATTAAATAGAATCTACTAAAAAATATATATACATATGTCTCTCTTGAATTGCAAAACTGTTATCTATATGTAATATGCGATCCTTATCTACGGGTATTTGGAAAATACTATGAAAGTGTCAATAACACAAAAACATTACCTTTATTGAATGATCTCACAGTTGTTATTGACGAATAATCAAACTCCGCTTGAAATAATGATGGAGACATCGGCTTGATATCATTTTCGGGAATAATATCCTGTATTGTTAAATAATTCAATAAAAAATTAGTCATTATTGGTAATTTGACATGGTGAATCAAAGAAAATGGGGTGTATTTTTTAATCAAGCTGAAACCATTTGATACAGTTGTAATTTCATGTCCAGCCAAATCATCAGGGATCAATTGAGGGAGATAAGCGAATGTAAAAGATAAATCTTCATGATAAATTTCTACAGCATAAAAGCATAAACAAAGAGTCCGTAGTGTACTTGTTCGTCTGATTACTGAGTATTTATTTGAACTAACTTTGGAATTCGATAAACATGAAGTGCGAGGTTTACGTAATAGTGTTGAAGATTGTGGCCGATTTAAATTCGATAATCTACAACTAACAGAAGAGGTAGAAGACGGCAATATCACTGCTGGGTGCTGTTTTTGTGATTTAGTCGGGAGCGTAGTTTGTGATTGATTTTGATGTGACTGAGCCGTTAAACGTAGACGGTTTGTTCCATTAGTTTTATTAGGATCTTGTTTATTAATTTGTTTCTTGGTCAGTATGACAGGTTTCACCAAAGTACGTTTTGAATGATCAATAACCGAATTTATAGATACACTATTTTTAGTTACAGAATTCGATAGTCTACTTTGATCCAAGTTATCATCTGAAGAACAGATGCTATCAACTAAATGCTTAGAGTTTTGAAATTTTTTCAATCTTTCTGACTGATTCACATTTCCTATTGGCTTTCTTGTTGTTACTCTTACAGACGAGGTAGATAATTGATTAGGTGAATGACAGCTCTTGACATAATTCTTAAATGAATTACTAGCAATAGTAATTTTTTCTTCTGCAGCTACACTACTACGTAAACATTTGAATCTCATCACTGATAAATGTCTTGTAGAACTATGACTATTAATATGTGTACATTCCTGTAATTGATTCCGCTGATATCGTTCATATTGAATGACTTGTTTTTCATTATGATTTTGTTGATTTAACTCATTACTTAAATTCATTTCAGATGTTAATCCATTATTATTTGTTGCATATATATAACCTTTAGATGTGAACATATATGTTATTACATCGGAATATAAATTTCTATTGATGATAAAATTATTCATTTGTTTAAAATAAGATAAATCAATTATTGATTGATTAATTGATTTTTGATTTTGTAAATATTTTATTTTATAATAATTTTCTAACCAATACTTATTACTATTATTCAATATATAAGTAGTATATTTTTGACAAAACTGTTTAATATTTATAAAGAAATTTAGTTTATTAATATATAAATTTGTTAATAAAATAGTTGAATAATACATTTTTATATTATTTATAATGAGCATAGAATGATTATATTTATCGAGTAGTTTCTTCTTATTATTATCATCATCATCGTCATTTATTGATAAGCTATATCTCTTACGTAATTTATATTCAATTTGTAAAGGATATAGTAATGGATACTTTTTATATGTAGTTAATTTGTTTAGAAATATTAAAGAATAATAATGTATAGTAGGGTTAGGATTACATTGAATGAATGTTGAATGTTTCTCATTTTTCAAATTTAGAATACAAAAACATTTTGATATTCCAATGTTATTATTACTAATATTTGTATTTGTATCTTTGTTACTAATTAAATAATTTGTCCTAATGTTATTATTATCCTTCTTCATTATTCTCAAATAGATGAGAAGAAATGTTAAAGATTACCTTGAAGATTAAAATCTGAATGATGGTAATAATGATAATAGTTTAGATTAGAAATAAACAATTCACATTAGCCACTTAATTCCAATTAACTATTTATTCTCTAAATACTCTATTATAAATGTGTTTTTCTTTTTTGAAAAAAAAAATTACTTGTTTGGATCGATAATAGGAATTAATCGATCATATCAATACTGAATATAATTAAATTATACAGTTGTGTTTAGTTGATGATGTCTGTGATGTGATGGAAAAAGTGTATTTTATTATGACAAAAGAGAAAGAGAGAGATTTGTTCTACTTCAGTGAAGTGAATTATTGCTTATTGAATTGTCAAGAATTCAATAACTAAGAGAGTGATAAGTTTTGTTACAAATACGTTGAAATCGTCTTTCTAGACGGTTTCAATAAACATAAACTACTTCTATACGTCATATAGAGCAAAATAGAAAGGATATGAATTGTGAGTAAAAGCCTTACTTCAAGATTAGGGTATATACAAAGAAAAATGATGGTATTTGTAAAGTCAATCATGACCTTGGGTTTCTAGAAATCTCTGAAACTATACCAAGCATAATGGCAGTATAAGTAAATATTCAATCAAAATCATGATGTGATTCTGCATTTTCTAGATGTTTCTGCGAAGTTTCTATTCGACGCTGATCGGATAGAACGTTCCCTGGAGTTTCTGCGCCTCTAGAGACATTTACGAGAGATACCCTGGGACCCTCACGACAGTGGGATAAAAGACTAAAGAATTATGTCAAACTCTAGGTTTGAATTTACCATACATCGAAAAGTGATGCTCACAAAAACTCTCACTTTATATGTTTTGATTTGAGCCCGCTATAAACATGCTTCTAGAGTTGATAATTTTTTTCTTCACTTGATTGCCTATTAGACAATCCGTAGTTTGACTTAAATGTGTAAACAGATGGCAACGTTTGATGGAAACATTGAGTAAACATAATCTTCTGAATGATTTGAATATCACTTACAAGAATATTGGAGACACATTTTTCTTTAAAGGATAAAGCTCGGGACACCAGTTTGTCGGAAAGCTAGTACAAACTTGGGGCTTGTCAAGTCGCAAACCCAATCTGACACCAAAGTTTATAAATCCCGATTAATTTCATATAGTTTCTTTAGTTTATCCCGATACGTAATAAGACTCGTTTGACAACATGACATTAAACATTGGATAGGAAGTGTGTAAGGAAATCGATATATTTCATGTAAATTCATTCAACAGATCACATGTACGGTGTACAGCATTTGTATGATGTCAGAATTATACATAGCATATGTGGTCGTGAAACGTTGCTGTAGCATGGATGTAAACTTCACAGTTAAGAATCAGTGGATAAGTAATTGCCTGAGTCTATATATAACACTAGACGGTACATTTTATTTCTGTTTGGGATATTTCAGGAGAAACAATATGACTAACCTCAACACAAATATTACATTATTAGTTGACAACTGCTAGGAAGATTTCAAGTTGTTATCTAGTTTTTGACATTAAATGTTAATTTCAATCAGAGATAGATAGTGCCTAGCAATGGGATCCAGGACTCCAGTTTCGTCCTATTTGGGACTCGTCAGCTGAGCGTACCTGTATGAAAGAGTTGATGTTCCGGGACTCAAACTCAGTGCCATTCGCTTCAAATGTTATCGCAATATCCATTTAACTACTGATTCCACGGACTTATGCAATCGGGTGAAGTTTAATTCCTCTTGTCTTGGTTGTTTGAATCTTGCGATTGACGTTTAGGACTGCCATTGATCAGTGTCTTAATGGTACATGTGAATGCTGTGCGGAATGCCTCAATATTGCCTTAAGACACGAGCATTATAAACAACAAACGGATTAAATGTTAATTTCTTTCTGTAACGATAGACTCAAGTACACTTTTTCTAGTTTATATTTCGACATAATTTTTTATGTTTTCCTAATGGTTGTTACCACTCCTAGTTTGCTAATTTTCTGTATATTCTAAGGTCACATTTTGTTATATGTACAGAGATGCTTCATTCCAGTTGGTTCTTCGTTGAAGCATCAAGTTTCTCTGCGCTTACTTCTTTTTGCAATTCAAAATAGTTCTCATTCGTATTAGAATAACCTCGATATTTTGTGATTTGTAATTACTGTAGGCCCAACCAAACATCAATTCTTAATACTTGCCTACAAGATTTAACAAATGCCTTGAAGAACAAAGATTATATAACTCACTCTCAAATTGTTTACTATCATTAATTAAATAAAACAAATATTTTAATTCACACATCACCTTAAAAATATTTGCCTCAATAGAATTTTTCTGTCTCAATCCTTCTTGAAGTGAATTCAAAGCAGATAATGTCGAACCAGACCCCAGTTTTATTGAAACGGTAGTTTCATCTTGATAAGTACTATAGAAGTTTGGAGAAAAAGCGAGTAAAGTTAATTTCTGTGCATCATTTATACAAAACTCTATGGTTATCAAAGATATTGATCGTTTTGACCATTAGCCTAGGTACTGTATCCATCCATTTCACTCTTGGCAGTCTTCACTAACTTTCAGTCAAGTACACTAAGACATATCGATTTTAATAGATGACTTTCAAGCAATCGGGTTATATATGCTTGATCTGCAATCTATCTGGTATAGTTTATTAAACAATCATATTGTGATGTTATGATGCATCAAACACAAAAGATAGTTGCTCACATTCGACTGAATAAACTTGCAAACTATGTTTTGATTAAGTGAGCATGATCTAATTTATGTTGTGAAACATGTCTGTTTTGACTAACCTATGTTTTATTTCATCGGGTAATTTACCATGAAGGAAAAATACTTTTATTCAATAATACATCTAGCATAGACGTTATTATTATTTTTGTTATTTGATCACTGGTTAGGATCGTTAACCAGTTCTAATACTGGGAGAAGTAAATGTTCAATGTACCTTGGTTATCATCAATGACAATTCATGGTGAAAACTACCAAAAAAATTAGTTCATTTCAGATTTAGACTGCTTTTTTATGTTGACGTTTCATCTAAAACTATGCGTAAATATGACCTACATCCATATTTGAACCTAGAGTGATCGGGGATTTTTTTTAGGCTGAAGTAACCTGCTTTAGTTCATAAATTACGATTGAGTCTAACTGTTTTGATCGAGCCCTTCTCACTATACAATCACATAACATAATTACAAGTTTAGTGTTATGTGAGCTGCAGAACGACTGGTTGACTAGAGTTACGATTTTTTCTCAAAAGAACTTCATAATAAACCATCTGTTAAAAATGAGCAATTAACTGGGAATGATGAAACTCTGAAAATCAATATCCTATGAATCAAGAAATACATATACGTATAATCTGCATTTATTAAACAGCAGATTTAGAGTATTATTATAGTTTTAATTATATGCCTTCATTTATTTTATTAACGGTTGATATTGTCGTTTATTATCAACAAACTACAATTTACTGATTATATACCTGTTGCTCAGTTTTATATACCACACATGATCTAGTTTGAAATTTATTACATGTGGTTTCTTATGGTGTTGCATTAAATGTATAAAATAATGTGCATCAGTGTGAATAACAGGAGGCACATTGTGTTCCGGGGATAGAACTAGTTAGCGTTATCATTAATTGTAGATATGATGTAGAAATTATTGTTATTGTGGTAAGTGGAATCAACAACACTATTCCTCAGTTAGATCACCTTTGACAGTATTGTTAATCGATTTCGAGTCGGTGATTATAATAGAGTACGTTGATAATGTACACTAGTGATAAACACGCACACACAGTCAAAAGAAGCCGGTAATAAGTTTAAATAATAAACTATGATATTAACTTTATGAACCACCGAGATTAGCCAGAAATTTTTCAATGTCCAAGTAACCTGTTGTATCCAACGCTTCCGACTATCTTTCCGTTCATCTACTAGGTGAGTGTTGAATATCAGAACGTAAATTCACTGGAAATTTAATTTCAAGGGTCTGCAGTTATCTGCAGAACTCTGGTGTGAATATATCGGTATAACATACACCCAATATATCAGATTAAATAAAGAAATACAAATATGATGAAAGTTGGGGTTGAAATGAAATCTGTAATGAAAACTATCACTCTAATGTGTAGTACATAACCACTAAATGAACAGAAAAAGTGAACGGAAGTGCTAGATATAACACATTAATTGAACAACGGAAAATGTGACCAATAGCCTCGACCTTCTTTTATAATTAACAGTAACAATAATGAATAAGGTCACATACATATAATCTACTTACTTATTATAGTATTCAAGGTATTGATTTATTCGATTTAAATAAGTATAGGAACAACAAAATTGACGCAGTAAAACTCTTGTATCCGAATGAGCATTTATGCTACTCCAATTGACTATTTTACATAAATTAACCAAATGATTATGAATACATGTCATATACAACAATTTAAACTGAATTTCCTGTATATGAGGTGAAAAAGAAACAATACAGATATATAAGGACAATGGTAACAATGTAAATTATTCTGTGTAGATTTTCCACACTTTGAAAAAAGAATCTGTTGTCATTTAGTCCTATGACTGTCGTATGAGATTTACTTAAAGTAAATCAAAGATCATTACAGTTAATTGTCGAGAAATGAATACTTTTCATTGAAAAATAACGGATTGAAAAGTACATCCTTCGAAGTGTAAATTAAATCCAATTGGGTTGAAAGGAGATTTTTGAATAAATTAACTGAGTTTATGAGATTTTGAATTTGCTTCAATTGAGGTGACTAAGAATTATGTACGCTGAACTCATTCCTTTACTGTGGAATATCTTGTTAGGTGAAGAATGAATGTATAGTGACTACAAATCACGACACAGAAGTCAGCTAATTTGATGTTATGTGTTGACGTATATTATATCTCAATCATAAAACGTTACTGAATCATTTTATTCATCGTTAACAACTAAGAAGCATGATATTTTTGGCTAGTTTCCATGGTATTTAACTAGTATGCTTTATTTCCTTACATATAACAATGACTAAACGTTCACCACGAGATTGAAAAGTTCTAGGGTAGAGTTCTATGAGAAGTCTCATGGTAGGACGAAATGTCTGTCTGATACTCTCTGATTTTCAGTAGTACTCGACTGAGATCAATCTAAGATCTATAAAATATAACCAAAAGGTTGAATTTTAAATATATTCATTCTTTTCCAGGGATTGGAAATTTACTGAAGTAGGTCAGTGAATTAGAGTAGTAGCTTAGTGTTATGTTATATTATCTGTAGTTCAGTACGTGCCTATAATACTTGTGAAGTTAGGAATGACTAAACTACTCCTATATGATTTGTGCTAGTGTAATTGCTAAAGGTAATCAGTGAACAAAACGTCAACACCTGAGGGTCAACGCTGGCAGATGAAATGCAAGAAAACTTGATATTAATGGTAAACAAGCATTACAAAACGAATTGTTACAACTCCGTATATACAGTAAGGAAAACATGATCTTCAAGTATACAGAAATCTAGTTTACTAAAAGCGATCGGAATCAATCAGAGAAAGGAAGAGCTTATGCTGACAATCGAATTTTTAAAAAGGCACTTGGGGTTATCGCTTTAAAAAAATATTTAAGCATTATTTACAAAATTTGAGGAATCTTATGAACATCCGAACACTTTCTCATTAAAATACTTGGGTTTCAACCAATAAGACCTATGTTCAGACTTCATCTAACCTACTTTGGTTTAAGCATTCAAGTAGTAAGTATCCCTTTTCCCTCACACCTAATATGACTTAAGGAGAATTGCATAAATTAATATTACGCAAATGAGATATATTATCACCATTTATAGATAGTCGTTCTCAGTGTAAATATCGATTTTGAAAAATAAGAGAATCAAACACAAGTATTCTTATCACATTAGACCAGTATTCCATTTACATACAATGAGTATCATTACAAATATTTTCAAATATTCAAGACATTGAAGAATTGGATCAATCAATAAATTGTTTATTCATATGATTAATAAAAAGAAAAACATCAGGATCAGGGGACCAATAAAAAAACAATAACAAACATTTCTTTAAATTATCAGAAGGGGTTTTGTGGAGATTTTAGAAATTTCACTTATTGAAATCATGAGTCGATTGAAGCTAGACCACCATGGAAAACCTGGAAGCACTGGACGGCCGTTTCATCCTAGTATGGAACTCCTCAGCAGTGAGCATCCACGATCCCTCACTGCGCACTGCTGAGGAGTTCCATACTAGGATGAAACGGCCGTCCAGTGCTTCCAGGTTTTCCATGGTGGTCTAGCTTCAATTGACTCATGATTTCAATCAGTGAAATCTCTTCTTAAATTACCTGAATATTGTTCAATGAAGTACATCTCCTCTGATTAATTCGATGACATGGATATTGTATACACATGATATTATCAACATCAACTAATAACATTATTTTCATTTGTTCAATTAAACATTTCACATTTGTCTTGATATATATTAAAATCTCTTCACATTTATGTTTAATCGTTTGTGTTAACTGATTAATATATACTTGTAGACAATTTATAAGTAGTATTGATAAATCTAATTGTATTTGTACATTGATATTATTAACATAATAAACAATAATATTTTCATATTCACTGTGACAAATTTGAAGTAACTCTTCAATTTTCATTAATTGATCTACATACATCTATAACAGTAATATTAATAGTAGTAGGATAAGAAATTATTATTAAAAAAAAGTAGTTGGGTTTATTTTTTTAATAAAAAAGAAAAGATGAATAGAAAACATATTATGATAAGAGATTGATATCATTAGTTAGTACTATGATTCACTTCAGTTCACACAACTTGGGATACCGAAATATAAATTCCAGGTAAGCTATCACTATACTCTCTTTGTAACTATTGAAGCAGCACCAAAAAATGTGAGTAGAATTAAGCAGAAGTTTTTTTATTTGGAGTTCAACTGACAATGGTATAAGGTGGAAGTGTATGGGAATTTTTTTGAGCATCCTTGAGAGTTAACCAGTGAATATACGAATTTCGTATAGTCATATTTAACTGCATGGATGAAGTTTAGAGTTATTCGAATGAGGATTTAAACAGTTATGTAGTTTGATTTGAATTGAATTCTTGAGAAATAGTGCATTCACCAACAATAAGAGAATACAAATGAAAGTTAAGTATGGCTTGAGAACTTTTTTGTCTTCATTTGTGATCAATAAATACACAAAACTTAATAAAAAATCTCTTAAAAATGATATCGATAGAATGACTTCAACATTTTATTCAAGAAAACTGTCCACTATAAACCGAAAACTACAATCTATTTGCCTTGTTATGAGGTTTCTCATACTAATACTGATGTACAAGTATCCATTCTATACCTGAGACCGAACCAGGTACTGGAGATTATTAAGAGCGAGGATGAAGCCTTGTTAACTAAAAGAGAATCAAGAATATATGTACACTTATTTAAAAATATACATCTCTTTGCTTTTGAAAATAAAGTCACATTTCCAATCAGTGGAATGTGTCTCAGTTCCTAGGAAATAAAGCTGAATCTTTGTCGATAACTTGCTCTTATCTTTGATTGGCACAATGTATCACTATATGAAGTGCTGTGTTTCTAGAAATAATTACTTTTAAATCGTTTACGTAAAGAGTAAACTTCCTTTATTCCGTAGGATTAAATGTAAATTAGTCTATATAATTCTGTTTGTTGTTCAAATATGAGGTCCAATAATCAATCACAACTATCTCACCGATTTGTCTACACTTAAGAGTTAGAAACGATTATGGTTCACACAGAGAAATATCTATCACCTCTGACCAACCTAAGAAATAAATCTTCCGAATTCCATACTCATTAATAACGTTGTGAGCAGCACGGAAAAACACTGATCTTAATCAATAAACTTTGGAAAATGTCTAAAGGATTGCTAAACGGCCGTCCAGTGCTTCCAGGTTTCCTATGGTGGTCTAGCTTCAATTGACTCATGATCTCAACTGTTGAGATTGTTAAAGAACAATGTATAATTGAAACAGAACCATTAAAAAATTTTTCGGATTACAGTTCATTCATTTTTGACATTAATATGCACAAACTCAAGACTCCGGATTTCTGTTTGCATATTCTGATGTCTGTTTTACACTCACTTTAAATGAATTAAAACAAACCTAATACCTTTCAGTGAAATTAATTAATTAGCAAGCAAGAAAAATCATTCAATTGAAATCCATTAAAAAACCCACTTCTGCGTTTTCTTTGAGTTCATCATTGAATGATGATGATAGTACTGTTTCGTCTATAAAATGTATAATCCATTCTGAAATCATATCTATTCGACGTTGTAATGTAGTTAAATAAATTTGATTTTGTTTAAAATTTAATGTATTCTTTTTGTTGTCAAGTTTGTATTTATTTAAAGCTTTGAGACGTTCTTCTTGTTCATTGATTAACACATTCATGGAAGATACATTATTAATATTATTATCTATAAAAGGATTTCTATGACATATTGTACAGAATACTGGAGATCTAGATGGAAGAAATATCTCATTCGTTATATAACAATTATGTATAATACCATCATTCACTTCATCAGGAACGATAGACGATGAAGATGATGAATTTTGAAATGTTTCCATCAAACCATTGATAACATCATGTGAACAGTTTTTCTCTTCATTAACAAATAGGCTGTTGAATAATATTTGTTGTCTTTTCAACTCGTCTATCACCTCTTGATAATTAAAAGGCCATAAAGACTGATGTATATCTACAAATGAAAAATATGATAGACAAATAACTTCACAAAAACCAATATGGGCAAGATAGAATAAACCCTATTTCAATTTATTCAGTATTTTACGACTACTTGTGAGTGAGAAAGTAGCAGTACCTGACAATATACCAGCTGAAGCACTAAAGTCAGACGTAGAAGTAACCGCAAAGATGCTCCACATTCTATTCAGCAAGATTTGGGAGGAAGAACAAGTGCCAACAGACTGGAAAGAAGGATACCTCATCAAGATACCAAAGAAAGGAGGTCTGAGAAAGTGTGGGAACTACGGAGTTACCAAAACTAATATCGGTCCCAGGAAAAGTTTTTAACAATGTTGCTGAACCGGGTGAAAAATTCAGTAGACATACAACTTCGAGATCAACAGACCGTATTCCACAAGGATCGGTCTTACACAAACCAAATCGCGACACTATGAATAATCAATCCAATGGAACTCGTCACTATATAACAAATTACTTGATTCTAAGAAAGCATTTGATAGTATGAATAGGAGAACATTTTAGAAACATTTTCGACACTATGGTGTACCTGAGAAAATTGTCAATACCATCCGGAATTCATATGACGAACTACAGGGCAAAGTCGTGCATGTAGAACAGTGAACAGGTGGATTCGAAGTAAGGACTGTGGTTAGGCAGGGCTGCCTATTCTCTACCTTTCTTTTTCTTCTGGTGGTTGACTGGATTATGAAGGTCTCTACATACGAGAGGAAGCACGGAATACAAAGGACAGCGCGGACTCAACTAGACGATTTGGACTTTACAGATCACCTAACTCTTACATCTCATACACAGTGACAAATGAAGGTGAAAACAAATCGTGTAGCAGCAGCCACTGCAGCAGTAAGCCTCAACACACACGAAGGAAAAACCATGATCCTGAAATATAGCACGACGAACACCTGATGGTGAAGCTCTGGTAGAGGCGGAATCTTGCAGGTTCCTGGGCAGCTTCATCGACGAACAAGGAGGATCTGATGTAGACATAAAGGCAAGGATTGGCTAACTAAGGGCAGCATTCCTACAGTTGGACAACATATAGAACTCAAAATAACTGTTCGTCAACCAATATCAAATTAGAATATTCAACACAAACGTCAAGACAGTCCTACCGTACGCAGCTAAAACTTCGAGAATTACCATAACCATCATCAAAAAGGTACAACTATCTAAAAACAGCTTTTTACGTAAGATACTCAATTTCTGTTGACCGGATATAATCAGCAATAGCCTACTGTGAGAGAGAACAAACGAGCTTCCAGCTGAAGTGAAAATTAGGAAAACAGATTGGAAGTGGATAGGGCATACATTGTGAGTCACCAAACTGCATTACAAGGTAAGCATTAACTTGGAATCCTGAAAGAAAACGGAAAAGAGGAGGGCAACAGAACACATTACGTCGGGAAATAGAAGCAGATATGAAAAGGATGAATAACAACTGGAAGGAGCTGGAAAGGATTGCCCAGGACAGATTTGGATGGGGAATACTGGTGGGCGACCTATGCTCCTCTACGAGGCCTACTTGTGAACACTTTTCTACACTCAGTAATCACGAGATGCAAACCAATGAAATTTACTGTTCATCTGCACAGTCTTCAAACCATTATAAGCAATTAAAATTTGTGCACAAACTTCTTACATGACTCAAATCGAACTTGAGAACGAAAACACTTAGTTTATTAATATGCAAATTTATACTACTAATAAGTAATACATTTAGGAAAGACTTACATGAAAATCCGGATTTCTGTGGATATACTTGATTCATAACATTTGATAATTCCATATTATTTAACAAAGCATTAATATTATTGCATACAGATACAAAATGTATCCATTGATTCATAACGATATGTAACACTGATTTAAGCTGATGTAAACGAATACCAAGAATAAGCCAATCACTTGTCAAAATAGTGTTTGGCAAAATAGCAGCATTGTTAATTTGGTTACAGATTGTCTGATGAGATCTTTTTACAGTGAATGAGTACGTAGAAACATAAATGAATAATGGTTCTAGTTGAATATATTCATTATACCATGACTATAATTGAAGAAAGAAAAATAAATAATGGAAACTGTTATTATTTGTCGAGTAAACGGTAAGAGGTGACCATCTTGGTAAGTATTTATGTAAACAATACGATGTTACGTGGGAGAAAATGGGTGAAAAGTTGCACTAGATTTAGATCTTTTGCTGGTAGATACTCGTCAGCGATGTGTATCTGAAGTCGTGATGAAACTGATACACATCGTGAGATTTGGACCAGCATCATCCTGTGTTATACACATGGAAATTTTACTGTTAAGTTATTCAAACTACGAACTATTTTGTTTGGGACTGAAGTATTTACGCTTACTGGTCACTGAGTAATAATCAATATAGTGTTTGTCTAATCCTTAATGATGATAGAATTCTATCGACTAAGTGGAAATGTGGTCAAGTTAGTTTAATTCTTTAATAATATGAAAACTAGGTTTAATAATCTCTGTTGATCACCTTCAACCCAATTAGCATCAAAACACGATATACGCGATGTCGAACCACTTACAATGAAATTTTAGACAGCCAACAAGACTTGACAAACATGGCGCTGGCTATTACTCAACAACTGGTCACGATATGTGGTTGGCTGACGTTAGATATTGATAGCTGTCTTCACATTTGTGGATTTACCATAATAGATTTAATCTTTAGTGTTTATTAAAATCAGACTAAAGTTTCTCAAGATTTGTAATCTGATTGACAGTATTTAAAGCTTCAACAATCCATAAACACTTAAAATCGTCATAAACCTTTAAGTAATCAAATACAACTGAATATTATGCACACCTTTCTTCTTCTTCTAATTCTACAAATATACAAAATACAGTGGGAAAGATTCGTTTCTATTCCACTATCGATTCATATATTTTCTTTCAAACCGATAAGTTAATTGATCAAATTAGGATACACCAGATGAAAAAGTTTGATATATATACGACGTCTGCATAGAGTATATCACTGAATTTGAAGTATTTTTGATTCTAAATTATCAAATTTCACCTAAGAAAGTTTGATTCCATTGAATAAAAACCTGAATATCATAGAAAATATTATTAGTTTAATAGATTAAAGTGAAAAATCCCAACTTCACGCTAATAGACTGTGTCCAAATAACTCTACAATTTTATATTGGGAATTCATTATGAATTATGATAAAATCAAATTTATAATCTAGTCAAGATCAGGGTAGAGGATCAACAATTTAAAATATTCAAAAACCGCTCTTCTTACTTAGATTCTAGCAACCGGATAGTAGCATCATTAGCCATCACACAAAACAATGGAAACACGATGAATAGTTAATAAAGTATCGATCAACTATGTATAAGTCTCCTATCTATCGTAAAATAAACTAAGTGGTCAATTCCCAGAATAAATTCAAAAATCTGAGTTCTAGACAAAACAATCAGAACTGTGATAATCTAATGATTGATATTTATGTTAATAAACTTTATTTATTAATTTAAACACAAAAATATTGGTGCAAGGAGGCAATAAATATAAATGCGTCACACAAATAGTTCAATTCATAAGACGGCTGGGATGCTACCCGGGTGCTCGAACTGGAGAAAGTTGTTTTCTTAGGGTCCACGCCCCGAGCCTTTGGTATAAAGGTCTAATCCAAAAGGTGGTGGAGCAACTTTGGGACATACAGTCCTATAGTAACCGGTTACCATCAATAAGTTCATGCCATCTGTTTCCCTAGGATTCTGAAACCCCTGTGCACCATTGGTTTTAAATCATGGTTTTCCAACTTCTCCAGGTAGATCCTCCGTATCCACTAACCCGGTTAAGAAGCTGTACATTCGCTTTTTGTCCTCTTATTTCCGTAAACAACACCCCTGCCGAGTAAAGGCATTGAGTAGGACTTCCATGGTAGTTGCTGTGTACGTGTGGCCATGTGAGAGCATTTCAAGAGAGAGAACGAACTCTCTCCACCCTTAGTCGTGCCAGGGCATTTGGGGGTGAAGCGGTGTGTGTCGGTCAATTAACGTAGTAGTAATTTTCAAATAACAAAATGACATACATTATATAACAGAAAAATTACTTTCATTCACTGAAATTATCATACTCACATTCACACTGATACACTGTTTGATAATATCATCTAATTTGAATTTGAATGGATGTTCATTGGTTGTTACAAACAAACTCTCGATTGAACGGATAATATTTTGTTCTAATAAACTAAATCTTTCTAACAGATATGAATTTACACAACTATAACAATCATTTTTGCTGTTCATCACATTCTTGTTGATCATGTTATCATTAGTGAAATATTTCATGAAGTTATTGAAGTATTCTAATTTTACATTGAACATTATTGACTTAGATGATAATAAATTATACAAATTGTGAATGCCACCATTAAATAAATTAATTGAAATAGTATTTTTAATTGTTTCCACTAAATTCATGATATTGTCAGTTTGAGAATTACAAAGTTCCAATTCGTTTTCATTCGATGATAATACACCAGTTGGATACAATTGAATTGATTGTAAATATTCTATTGAATTTATCCAATGTATACGTTCATGTTTTATTCGACATAAGTACAAGTTTGTTAATTGAATCAAATTGGAAATTCCTCATTCAATGAAAGTGTTGATTCTTTAATCGATTCTTTTACATTAGACAATAAAGTATGTTGATAAGCAGATTTAGCTAGATTAACTAAAGACAAACTAGGTGGTATGTGATCGAAAAAAGGATTATCAAGGTTAAGGTTGGTATTCCCAACAATATAACCATATAGATGTGAACTACATATGCAATGATTATCAATTAACAACTCTTTAATATTTGCCTCACATATATCTTTGGATTGTTTTAATTGATGCATAATACTCGCGTAAAATGTCTGAGACTTTTCGAACTGATCAATATGAATTTGAAGATCGGAATAAAGATGTTCTAGTCTTTCTACTACAGTAAGACGAATTGTAGTAAATTCCGTTAGTAATGACTTCGTGGATAACTGAAAGAAAAGAATTGGTCGTGCTATAAAACGCAAGACACAATTATTTTAATAAACATATTAAACTACTCATAAGTACTTGACAGCTGTACAGTAAATTAATGCGAAAACGAAATAACCGGAGAAGACCAAGTAATTTACAACGTTGTATGTGATATATAGTATGAAGACAACTGTAGTTCCGTATTCTGTGAGTTTCGATGAGGTTACGATTTGCTTTTCTGTTGGACTGATGATATATTGAAGACCATTATAAATGGTATACTTGTAATCATCGTATACTTTCGTTGTTTTACATAAGGGTTTGATACCATCTCCTATACACTTCTCATTACGTAATTATGTTAATATATTGTGATAATCAATGTGAAGTCTATTTACACAAGTTTGAGCTACTTTCTATGTTGAACTATTGACTAGAACTATTTTATTTTATTATTTTTATCACTGCTAGTACACCTGTCTTCTTATTATCAATTTGTACTTTTTACCTATTATGTGTAGTTATATAACGCTATTCCATTGTGACCATTGACTCATGAACTGGCTTGATTAGTTTAGTGTTTTCATACAAATATTCATGTGCATTAGAGTAAGGACTCATGACGATTTAACTGACAACAATATTATTCACTGATATATTTTGTTCTACTTGTATTTTAAACAGTTAATTACAAATGATGTAATGGTCGAAGTTGCCAACATTCTAAAACAACACAGAAAGAGATGATTAACCAAATAAACAGTGAAATACTTTAAATGACTCTACAAGTGATGACGAGAAGTAAACGGAAATAATTGAGCTCAAAAGGAACAAATGATATTCCAGTACGTAAAATTTATCTTGAAACCTAGGCGAGGCTGAGTTATGAATAGATCTGTAACGCTGTTATTGATTTCAGGATGTTACCTAGTTTGTAGTAAACTGTAAATACAAAGCCTATATTTTTTGATGTAGCCCAAATATGCCTATCGTAAAACATGAAGATTTTGTGTTGTACTAAGACTTATGTTCACGAATTCAGAAACCCTAGTTGACTTTTCTCAGCTTATGTTGGTTGTGGCGTAAACGAGATATCCATCTCCCTATCAACTAAAGGACGAGTTTACTGCGCAAGAGTTCACTTTATTATACCTCATCGTTGCGAAACATGGCGTTTAAAAACAAAGGATATTGGTAGGTCACTAGTATTCGATCATAGGTGACTTTGAACCATTCCTTGCATGTTTCAGAACCATCTAGTCAGCAATTCTGAGGTTAGATGTAGAGTACTAGGTAAGTGTGGCAAATCAATTGACGAGGTAGTTAATTTTTTTTATTGAAACGGTTAGGACATTTAGTACATATGCCTATTCACCGATTACCTTTATGCGCTAAGATAACTGACATAGTACGTTGGGAGAACAATAGGGGCGACTAAACCAAAACATGACATCAGTTCATGAAGATGCTGACTAATGGGTTGAGTCATTTAGTTAGATATGATTATATTAATCAATCGTAAGAAACTTTATGTGATATGGTTCAAAATCGTTCGCAATGGCTCAGGTGTATCCATTCACTCTTTGTCTTCCCTTAGATTTAAAGTTTCTAAATTCTTTACGAATGTTTTATTCCACTCTGAGGATTCCACCTTAACAATTTCATCTCGCTGTACTGATGAGGTAAATCAACTTGGATCGACATATATATATGTATGCGCCTGGTTTTATATTCCGTTTGAAAATTTAAAAATAAATAACACTTAAATCTTTCTTATCAACAAATACTTCATTAAATCCTTATTTATTTGTATTAATCTAAACAGTTACCTGAATATATTCACAAATGAAACATTTCAAATTACATTGACATAAATCCAAAATTCTTTGACCATAATTAATAAACAGTTGAAAAGTCGACTGATTAGTCTGAATCATAACATTATCATTATTCTCATTATATACCCAATATCTCTTTAATATATGAATTTCATTCAGAAAATTTAACAATAAAGATGTGATCAACTGATGATGATCAGGATCATGGACAAATGATTTAGAATTATGGAAATTTTTGATCAAATTAAATTGTTCACTTATTTGTTGTAGAAAATTTACTTTTCCATATAAATGAATTAATTGATGTAAAAATTGATAAAATTTAATTAAATTTTCAATGACTACTGATGTTAAACAATCACTATTATTATTATTATTATTATTATTATTATTATTATTATTATTATTATTATTATTATTATTTGATAACAATAATTGATCATTTTCAACAGAATCATTATATTCAATAATATTGTTATATAATTGAACATTGATAAAATTTAATTTTTCTAATAGGGTATTCAATGTTTCATTTTTAAATAAATATTGATTGATTTGATTGATGGGAATTTTATGAAGGTCAATGATTATTTTCAATGTATTGATTTGTGTTAATTTTGAATTGGATATAAATTGTTCAATTTTATTTCGTAATGATATTAAACGTAAATTAAAACTTTTTCTTAAATTTTCATTGGTCTAATCGAGAGAGAGAGAGAGAGAAACATGTATTTATGAGAAATAGTAAAAAAATTATGTTTAGTTTTGGCATGGCTGACAAATTTTATTTATGATGAACATTTTGAGAATCTATGGAAGCAAGCTGTTATGTCCTAACAAGAATAATGAATGGTAACTTTTGGGATCTATTTACGCACCAATACTAAACGTATATTTCTATTGTATAATTATTAAGTAACTAAACTATGCATATTCATGTTCCTCTTATTATAAGCTTTATGTTGACCCATAAACTATTATTATAAATTTTACCATTCTTGAGTTATACCCAGTATATTAATTGTTACCTCCCTCATTCACAGCCACATCTGGCTAATTCTTGTACAAATGTTGTTTCATATTTTATTGGTACGTTGTGGTCTGTTTGATTGGTATATAAACTCAGTATGTTTGAAATATAATGATTCACATCGTAGAGGCTCGGATTGGTGTTCTGGACTTAACTGTCTGGGCTAGGCGGAAAGCAAGACCAATCAGGACTCTAGGCTGCTCGCACGTGTTTTACGCGTCCTTGGTCCCATTGATAACTCGCTGCTTCTGATTGACGGCTTTGGGCTATAACACAAACAATTTGAGTTAACATTTTCTAAAAATAAATGTAACTTTCAAGTCATTTACAAATGAATAACTTCAAAAGGAAAACCTTATCAATAAAATTTCTGGTGAATAACAATGACTAGTAAAATTCAATGATATTGGAAAAGAGTAGAATAACTCATTTATCAGGTACAGATTTATTTTCTTGACTTTGAGCTATACTCCAAGCGTGACATGTAGTGATACAGCCTAGCTGTGCAAGTCAAAGTAGATGGAGGGGGTCCGAACGTGGCCTTTAGTAGATGAAAGTAGAGTCTAGTGGATATGGAGCCGATCCCTCTACTCAACCATGTTAAGAATGAGGTAGACATCAGTGGCAAGGATAGATAATGGTTTAGCGATATCATATATTGTCTGAAGTTGATGTATGTGAATTGACTTAGAAATAGAAATTAATCTATTAAAATCCTAGGATAAAAATCGATCATATTATTAGTACTATGCTAATACATAAGATTATCAACTAAAGAGGACAATAGAAAATCGAATCATAAATAATACATAGAGCATGTGAGAAATATGTGTCAAAACACATTGTCATGTCACATCAGCAGAGAAATATGAAATAAAAAAAAGTGAATGATAAAGAAGTCAAACCATAAATTCTGGTTCTTCAACCTCAACTAGATAGTCTGGATCTACCAACATGGCTTAGTCTAACAATAAATAAATTTCATGGACTGATGCCATTTCTTGGTTACTTCGAATCTAAGTACCATTCTAACCTATTCCTACCCCAATTCATATTACAGGTCAAAGTAGAATTGAATTCAACCTCATTAACCGATTTTCCATATATGCATAGTACTTTACACTTTACCTTATTATTGCTCACCTGGTTTTTATTTTTCTATTTGAGATCAGTAGTTTTAGAATACCTATGATCCAATATTTAAAAAAGGCTTACAAGATGAATATTAATGTATTTATCGGTTCTTACTACCCTTTCGAATCGAACACATAAATGAGATTAGTTTGTATAATAAACTGAGATCGCACTTACAGTTTTTTCAAACAACCAACTTCAAACTGATGGGTCAGAAATTGCAACTTTGTTTTAACTCCTGTAATTTTTTAAAAAAAACTGAAGGGCGTCACTAGCCCTGTCCAACGAATTTTATTTGTTCTTAGCCTCATAATAATGGATAGTTTTATAAATCAATTACATGTAAGTTGAACTTGAATAAGCTATTTGGAAGCAGTCACAACATAGTAATTCAAATATGAGTAATCGATCTCACTGGAAGATTAATCTTGAAACCGTTTCTTTTAAAATCTATCCCTAGAACGGTTGTGAGTTTAGACTGTTGAAGATTTTAATATTAGAACAAAAGACCTGTTTAGTGTTTCCTAATTTCCAATGGTACTTCATCAACTAAGGTCAATCTATTACAAAATATAACCTACAAATTCGAATTTAATTTATTACTCACTTTTTTCACATTCAATAGTTCAATAAAAATATACTTTGAGAAAAAATTCTTATCAACATCTGTATATATCGTTATATCAGGATATTTTATATTGAACACTTCAATTTCAATGAATAATTGATTAAAACACAAATTTAATTGTTCATATTCATTAAGATCAGTTAACAAATTGATTTGAACTTGTTTCAATGTTTCCATATATTTCTTGCATTGAACAATTTGTTCTGAATAAGAAATTATTGTATTATTATTATTATTATCATCATCATCACAATCTTTATAATGTTTCCATAATTGTTGTTCTAAATTGTATAATTCTAAGAGAATAGGTAAACGAATTTCTAATTGACGATATAGATTTTGAGTTATAACATAAAGGATTTGATTAGAGATTCCATTCAATTGAATAAATTTTAAATCATGATCAGAGAATCTTTTCATGATTAAATTAAACCAATCTTGAAAATAGTAGTATAGTACATTGAAAATAGTTGAATAGTTTTCATTATTAATAGACAACTGTGGAATATTTCTTAGAATAATTTGTTGATAATGATCTAGAATTTGTTTATAATATAAAAGACAATCATTATAAACTTTAATAATCCATTGACTTGAATTCATAAGACGGGAATAAAATAAATAATTTTGACAATGTAATGGATTCTTGTTAAATTGATCAATGTACAATTTTAAATTGTTTAATTGAACTATTTTCTCATTAATATACAGATCACTAATGATGAAATCAATTTCATTGAATCCTTTGATATTTCGATATAAATCATTTGGATATTGTTTCATTTGAATTTTATATTGTTTCATAATATGATCAAGTTGATTCTTTTTTGATGTAATCCATAATGTTAAATCATTTATACAATTTTCTAATAATTGAATATAGAAAATTTGTTGATTGAATTCAACCAGTAAATTGAACAACCATTCAATTACTAAATCCCAAAATATTTTAAACTCTTTATTCCAAAATGTATTATTATTATTATTATTATCGTTATTATTGAAAGATTCTGAAGATGATGACGTCTTCTGAGCACTTTCGATAATATCTACAACATTTTCATTACTATTCATTGTATTTATATGAAGTAATTCATTAGTCAATGAGTGACCTTCACACAAAATAACCTCACAAATAGGCATTAAACTTTTAAAAGATTTAAAAATGTTTTCTATCCAACTTTTATAATATAATAATGCATCTAGAGAATTTGCAGAAATTAAAATATTGTACGATACTTGAATTGGTGATATAAATTTTATATCATTAATAAACTGATTCTTTTTATTAGTCTCCAATAGTAGGTAATCCAATTTGAATTGAGGTGGATTTGGTATTGGTGTTTCAGGTAATCGATTCCATAAGTTTTGTACATGCACTTTATTCAGTAGTATATTGAAATTTAGAGAAGATAAAATAAACAATTAACTAATTAAATAGAGTTATAAAATAGTATAAAAGGATTTTCTTTTTTATAACCTTGACTGATAAGCGGATACTATTGATTTAAGATTTAAATAGAAACTGCGACCAATAGTTAGAGATGTTGTATCAAATGATTCAGAATTCGCTGCAGTGACGCAGATAAGTTCATTTTATTATCTTCCTTTAGATCATGTATCCCAGTATTCCTTCATACATAATTTCTTATTGTGTTTTCTAAAATCATAACAGTACAAGTCTAACTTCAATCAATTTATATTATTCTACCATAATCTATTGCTTGCAGTGGATAATTGTATTACACTTAACATGGTTGAACTTCACTAGTCTTGCCTTCTCACAAGAACTCTTGGAATCGCTCCCAAAAATTAGTCACTAGACTAATGAATTATTATAGGCATAGGAGTATTGTAGAGATTATTAAATTTTCATCGGTTATACCACTTGCTAATATATTAATTATATCGCTATTGAAAACTTTCATACTGATAATTTAGAAGTTAATTATTTATAATAATAATAATACCTAATTCTGGGTCTGTAAGGTGTATAAATTATTGAATCAGTAACAATGATAAGCTGGACATTCATATCTTGACGAAAAACTCATGAAACTTTCGCTATTTTCTCAGAGATTTAACTTAATAATTAATGCACGAAATAATCATTGAAATAGAAATCCTAAAATCGCTTTAATCTAAATTTTTATCGTCAATAGAAGATTTGAAAAATGATGACAACCAATCGACTTTTACCGCAGTTGGTTATGGTATTTAACTGTTAACCACGAAGTTGTACGACCAAACTAAATCATTTTGAGCAACCGAGTAGTGATCAAGTATTACAGGGCAATCTTAATCGGTTACCTGGTAGTGTTAAGTAGTATGGCATGAACGTATCGGTACTATTAAATACAACACTAATAAAGGAAAACCCGTTCAATATTTTTAATCAAACAAAACTTATACATATTAAAGATTTATCAGATTTGAAGTAGATTCACATTAAAAGAGAAAAAAGTAATAAAATTCATGCTGAACAACGTACCATTGAACCAATCTACTTGAGTGCTTAATCGTTTCCATCGGTCTAGCAGACTATGACAGTTTGCAGACCATATCATTAATTTATGGTTTAAATCTAAACCTTGAGTGATAAGATCTGTAATTTGTTGTTGTTGTTGAATACGTGATTTACATTCTTCATACTGTAGTGGTTGGTTATCCACTATCGTCGTATTGCTGGATTCGTTCAGGAGATGTAATCGATAACAAATAGAATAAATCTGAGAAAATAACGCCTATGAAATTTTAGAAAAAAAGATGAGTTGTAAGATGAGCACAAAGGTAGAGAATGTGAATTTTAACCGATGATAATAATAATAATAATAGATTCTGAAAATTATAACAGAATCCACACCAACTTACATACATAGTTGGGTTGATACAAAAAGAGAGGAAACATTTAAAAAAGAAAACAAGGGTACATTATTCGAACAGATCTTATGCAACGAAACTTCCTTTAAGTGAACACAATGGTAATGAAGTTGTTTAAATAATATAACACGAAACATATAACAGTTCACTAGACCAAGATAACATTTTAAAGTATAGAAATATTGACGGAATACACACCAAAGCAATCATTAATTTGAGTGGACTCGCAATCAAGAAGCGAAATAGTAATGTATGGTGAACATAATCAGATTTACCAATAAAGTGGTATAAGTTTCAAGTCGTTTAGCTGTTAGATGGGTTCCATGAGTCACATTTAAATAACTTCACCTTGATAACTGGTTTCGAGGCTTACGTTGTGAACATTTGTGTAATTTTATCATTTTTAAGCTGGGGCATTCTTTGCGATTACTGGTCGATATTTATTTAAGAGTTGATTTCAGTAAAAGCTTACATGAAAATATAATAATTCCTGTGAAATGTCTACAGAAAGTAAACTGAATTTCTGAACATTGAGTCCTGAACCAAGATTACTCTTGATTTAATTGTCACCTAATTTCAATGAAATAACCTTTTGTTTCTTTAGTGATGGATTGAACTTTGCAGTATTGTAGTACTAGTTTTGATTCGTTAAATATTTGCCTCAAATATTCATTATTAAACACCCTTAGTACATGATCACGTAGAGTATAGATTGTAATTATGCAATGAATTGACGAAACGTATTCATGGAACTTTACTTAACAATAATTAAGGTTAAAGACATGTTCTATTCACAATTTATTAACTTCCAAAAATGAAAGGATATTATGAGTTTGAAGAAATTTTAAAATCAGTCAACAAACCCCCGAGTTAGGCTGAGAAAAATATTTAGCTAACAAACAAATGTGAATGTAGACTTGATCTTGGTACTGTCTATCATATATCTTATTTGATTCAATAAAGCCGATGTTTTGATAGCACCAGTGACTAAAGTCATTCAAACTAAAAATTTACTCAAAAAAACCAATTAACAAATTCTAACTGAACAGATTTTGAAACAGTCAAATACAAGCCGAAAAATCATGTACAGCTTTTAAAAAAACTCTCATTATGAGCATCAAGTCTAAAGATAATGCAGGACAAGTATGAAAAACTAACTTTCGAAATCTTTGAGGAAAATGTTCTATTTCATTTAACCTCTTATCATCTTCCCCTAGTTAGCTGGCCGTTGACTTATAGATGTGTTAAAGATTGATTCTTCCTTTGGGTCACATCAATATGTATCTACAATTGTAATTGCTTTTGTGGTACAGGTTATATTGATCATGAAAAGTAAGCAGTCTCTGAACGCATCGCGAGTATTGCCGTGAGTAGCATTTTAAAGTAGATTGTAAAACCATAAATAGTTCAATATTAAAAAATTTCATCAACTCTGAGCACACTGTTAACAGTAGAAATATCTCCCATAGTCAAACTAATGAATTCGACGTGAGAATAAATCAATAACTTGTGTATTAAAGAAATGTTAGTTATTTATCATTTCAAACTAGAAATATATGCGTAAAAGTAGCATGCACAAACTCCCTTACACCTAACATTTTTAAAATATTGAAACTTATCGTTAATGTTTTTTTCAAAGTTATTTATTGCTATCAGCTTCATGTTTTTTGGAGTTTATTCTTCTTGTTTTTCATGCTCATCAAGCGGACAATTATCTTTTATATATATATATATATATATATATATATATATATATATATATATATATATATATATTAGTCATGACTTTTACCATGTTTTTAAAACCTATTTGTAAGGAAAAAACTCATCGTTTGCTAGCTGATGCTTGTTATATGTAATGTGCGATCTGAGAATTGTATTCGATCAAGACAATATAGATTTATTAGAAAACATTGGAGATCGAAGTTGAGTTTGTGCTGGCGCCAGACTACCTGGTTAAGGTCTATACAATCAATATACAAATGGTTGGAGATGGACAATATGTGTTTACTTTGCCTCAGAACATTTATTCGAAGATTTAATTCTTTCTGCCCGAATCATATTGTCTATATCTAATCTTTCCTACCATGAAAACCACTGATATTGTTAGTATTTAGACAATTCGGGTATTTATCTTAATAACTTTATCTGGATGTACCGATGTGAGTATGAGACTCTTTAGCAGTGCGCATCCACAATCCCGTACCAAAAAAAACTCGGACATAGGACCTTCTGCCTTAACTTCTAGGCCACTGAGACGGAATCCAAAGGTGTTAATGTCTAACTTCAATCAATTCATGATCCTGAGCAACACTTCATCCATGGCAAAGACAACAACATTAAATTAAATCTAGTTTAACTTACCAAATTCTTATTATATCTATTTTCTAATTCTTTCATTGTTAATACTGGTATATTAACTAACAATTCAATGACAATGAATAAATATTTGAAAATGTGTACAGTTTTTAATGAATTCATAGTTATTGATGTTTTCACACAGCTACATGGATTCATGATGATTAGATTTTTCAATTTATTATTCGACATTATGACATCATCATCATCATTATCATGAATGGGATCATTTGATTTGACATTACTTTGTATTGTTTTAATGATATTTAATGGAAAATTAATTGATTGATTAAAACAATCAATAAATGAATTCAATAGATAAAATAAATTTATTGAATATTGATCAGAATTATATTTATTTAATAAATAAATTGTAGTAAATTGTATTAAAGATTCATTAGATTGTTGATTGATTGAATGATAAAAATTAGATGGATTTATTTGATTTAAAATATATTGTAAGTAATTGAATTCATTTAGGAGGATTATCTATTTAAGACAAAATAATAGAAGAAATAATAATTAAATTACATTTAAAAAGAATAATTATTTAATGAATATTACCATCCATGGCTTGTAGTTCCATATCTTTAAATACTCTTAGAATTATCAGTATAGGGGTTGTGGAGATTATTAAGTTTTTTGATTGAGATCATGAACCGATTGATGTTAGACCATCGTTGGAAACCTGGAAGCACTGGACGGCTATTTCGTCCTATTGTGGGACTAAGGATCAGGAGATTCCAGGTTCGAATCCTGGCATGCTCGACTGCATTTCTAACTACCGTGATAACACAACTACATACATAATCTTTGTCCATTTTTCCCACAATAGGACAAAACGGCCGTTCAGTGCTTACATGTTTCCAACGGTGATCTAACATCAATCGGTTCATGATCTCAATCAAAAACTCTTAGAATTATTCTATTGATAGGCATGATGAACGGTAAGATTTTAAATTGGATAAGATGAATAAATAACAACTGTCTCACTAGTTATCTACAGTTTATTAATTAAATGAATATTATCAAATTCAGATAAGGTTAATTATTTCAGGAATAATAATTGAACATCAGTCTTTGTGTGTATCCATAAATCTAATGTTAAATTTACTTGGTAGTTTGCATCTTCCCATTGTTGCTAAAAATTGCAATTAATCAGTCTCTTGTTGGCATATATGCATCCTGTGCGGATCGCCTTGATATTGCCCTAAGTCACAACCCAGGAGATTAAGTCACGTGCGCGAACGCCTAAAATCTAGACCAGTGAGCTGGCATCCAACTGCGTTAATGTATAACTTCAATCGATCTATGATCTTGTGCAACCCTTTGTAGATTTGCTTAACTTCTCAATATTATAAATAATATATGAAATTACAATTAATAAGTAAAGATATTTAAATCATACAATAATAAAAATCTTACCAGATAATTGTTATTTGAAGCATCCATGAAGTTATTACTCGAATTCCTTTTAAATGTATTCTTTATTCGACTAACACTATACACACTTAATATGTCATAAGTAAATAACAATGATTTATAGGCAAAGTAGAAAATAAGTATCAAAATACGTGAATAAATCATTTCTATGCATAATAAATCTGTTGTTTTAAATAAACTACACCATAAATTTGGTAATGGAAATGGTTCATGCTCAAAAGAGGATAATTTTGACAAATGTTTATTTAAATCTCTAATTGATGAATGAATTTCATTAGTCAATATGATTAATTGATCAAATAAATCAGAAGATGTATTTTCGAAATAAATGGTTACCATGTTCTATAATTTTAAAAAAAAAAGTAAAGGAAATGAGACAATTGGAGTGTTTTATCACAAAAAAAAAAGAAAAGATACTTTAGTTAAATGAAAAGTGAAAATAAGAAAGTATCGGATATTAATGGTACTGAAAAATGATTATACAATATCACGAATCGATTGGAGTTGGAAGTGTGAACTATTTAATCTTAACTCAGTGAACTGAAGGTTAAGCATTTGCTAAAAGACATGAAGGTCGTGGATGTGCACTGTTGAGTTCAATACTAGGATGAAACAGCTGTTCAGTGTTTTCTAGTTTTCAAGGGTTGTATAGCTAGGATCAGTTCGCGATGTAAACTAGAAAATCTAAGTATTGCCATAGAGCCTTTAAACGAGAAACAAATACAAAATTGATGATAATAATCTAATAAGGTGGATTGAAGAGATTAACTCATAAGTAAGGAAAGGTTTCATCATGAATCAATGTCAACTGGGGCACATCATTGAAGACAAGATGACACTTTGCAAGCATTTTATCCTGTTAATGGGCCCCTCAAAAATATGCATCCACGAACCCGCCAAATATCAGACATATGACTTTCAACTCTCTCTCTCTCTTGATGGGCGTTGGCTGACATCTAATAGTTTACATTAACCGATTATAATAGATTCGCAACACAGCGTTGTCGTGATCGAATGTTATTAGTATTGGAAACTTGCTCAAACGTTCGCGCTATTTATCATTTTGCAGTTATATGGTAAAATTTTCCTTTTACGTTTCTTTTAACTCCTTAAACAAATAACGTTTATCAGATAGGGGGATTGTAATAATTTGATTGTAGTAATTTAATAGTTGAATTTATAGGTTGATTAGAGCTAGACCATCATGGAAAACATGGAAGCATTGGACTGCTAGGGAGTCTCATACTTAAACGAAACGGCCGTCCAGTACTCATAAATCCAACTATTAAATAACGTTTACATTAGGATCAACCCATGAATCAAATAAATATTGTATGAAGAAATAAACTATCACTGGAATAAAACTAGTCAAGAACGTTGTTGGATGAAGATGAATGGTATATTATCACACACTGTTGAAAAACTATATATATATATAACTTTTAATATTCAGTAGTTAAATGGATAATAAAATGGGACTGATAAGTCTTGTCGATTGAACGCTATATTCGTTTCCTAAGCTATTCTGGTAAGCCGCAAGCTAGAACTACACAGTGACCTGAACACCAGAGAGAAGAAGCAAAGTATGAGAGAAATACTTTACTCCAAGGTTCGTTTTTGTACAGAAAACATGGGCATTCATAGATGTTAACGTTTGTTAAATCAGCATCATATTTCGGCCAATCCGTTGACGACATATTATGCTACTAACCAATAGTAGCACGCCACGTTGGAACTCTAGAATGCTCCATCATGCTCTGATTGGCTGGGACTCTTCGGCTCCGTTGAAGTTCTCCGAAAGCCGACTCAACAGGGACTTATAACAGCATTTAAAGCTTTATGTTGTGAATTATTTGCTGTAATTATATATATGTTATTTAATAAAACTATTATTATTTTAGCGCACTTGATATGTGGTTAGCAAGATGCGCGTTTCGTCCTGTTCGGGACTCGTTGGATGAACACATCTTCAGCACAACATCTATACTCACACTGAGACTCAAACTCTATACCTTTCGTTTCAAACGTTCAACATATTATCCACTAAAATATTACGTCTCAATAGGACATCTAATTGTTCAACAGAGACTGATGTTTCCATTTCATGCTTTAAAATATTCCGCACAGTGCGTGTGAGTATATATAGTTCGCATTCATAACTATTTAGTTAAAACAAACTCAAAACAGGTAAACCTAGAGTTGGGAAACTAGAGTGATAAAACATTTAAACAAACTTTTGGGAACCCTTGAGAATTCCTAAGAAGCTGGAAAATGGTTGAAAATACCTCTTTCAGTTAGCATTCAATGAAAACATTTCATAAACTTCTAAAATGTGAGAGATTTCGGGAAACTAGTAAGAGTTTAGAAAGTCAGCATTGGGCGTTCAAGTATCAGACAAAAGAATAGAGAGTGCTATCAATCAGTTTCATAAGAAGTTATCAAGTTACTATTACTATGAAATACAATAATTGAATATAAAAGTCAACAAACTTACATTATCCACCAGTTTCATGAAATCATCGGCTAAGTTAAACTGTTTACTATTTATTTTCATATTTAAAATAATTTCGTTAAAATATTTCCACATATTGGTTAGATTATGTTCTATAAATGTTAATTCATTTTGTCCAATAGTTAAATCATTTTTATCAGATCTAGTATTGAAGTAGTTCAGAATATGATCTAAATAGATTACCAATGGAGAATGAAGTGGATTCAAGATAGATAGCTGAGTTTCATCATCAAAGATATTTTGATCGATATTTAACTCATTATCTAAATTGATATTGTTTAATACTGTAAGATTGGTTTTGTTAAAATTGATTAAACTTGATTGAAATCTCTTGGTAATCTGTAGTAAATTCTAAAATTGTACAAAGTTGTTATTTGAGGAAAAAAACAGAAGAAAAAACGGAGAGGAAACATTGATAAATTGGATTAATGAGAAAATTAGTCGATACTACTAATCTACTACTATTAATAATAATAACAACAAGATAAGGTAGCATATCAGCCACTAGGATTTCATAATATAATAAATAAAAAAAACACTAGGATGAAGACTTTAAACAAATCAGTGTTATTATTCTTACCATGATAATTTTGAAATCAAGCATCTTGTTGAAAATAAAACGATACTGATGGGGAATATCTCCACAAAATGTATCTTTGTGATTTCGATTTCGATTTAGAAAGAAAAACAATATAATCTAGTCACTAAGTACAGGATTTATTTAGTCGGTCCTAAGTTATATATTTTTAGCTGATTATTATTTGAATCAAGGTAGATGAAGATCGAGTTTTGATGTCGTAACTCAGGCGTTGAGATGTTGAGATCTTCTAGTTAGAAAAAAAAATGACAAAGTGGTGCCCCTTGATATATAGGCATAAAAACTACCATCCGTGGACAGTTTACAAAATATTTTTAAGTACAATTTAGTTCATGAATAGTAATACATTTCTATGAATAGTTAAAGAAAACTATTACTCACGTTATACGACTTTGAAAGCAATGTATGCAGTGAACAGCCATTCAACATAAAGTTGGCACCTTTTTCTGTACTACATGAGGATAATGATGAAGCATCAATATCATTGGATAGGTGCAAATATGATGCAACGGAAGCATACGAATTTCCCTTATGCGAAGTTTCTTTCATTGAACCAAAATAGTGATCGTCAGAGTGGAACTGTTTAGTACATCTATCCTCCAACCTATTTTCAGTTTGAATAAGTGTATTGTTTTTACTACAAACCCTGTGGAAAGATAGCAAAATGAAACAATAAGTTGCTTTGAAATTAAAAATAATCATATTTAGTATCAAAAGTTTAGATACAAATGCATTTTATTCATTTAAAGTTAACAGTGTATTATATAATTCAATACGTGGGTTGTGGAGATTGTTGGAATTTATCACAACTACGAACCAGCCTATATTAGATAACCACTGGAAACTTGAGAGCACTCAATACCCGTTTCATCCTTATGTGGAACTTCTTGGCAGTGCAAATTCACGACCCTGCCAGATGGGACCAAATCTAGGACTCTCGGTTTTGCGAGTGAACGCTAAACCACTACCGATTGATACTCGAGCACGACTCTTTTTTGATAAAATCGCTTAAAAATAAACAATGTGATTCCGCCAACAATTTACCAATGATCCAATAGTCAACTTAAACTTCCAATTATCATATATCCACTAATGAAAAATTTGATTTATGTTGACTATATCTTTGTTTAATCATAAAATTGTATCCCTGAATAGATTTATGAAACAGGAATACCAATTTGGAGGTCTTTGAAATAAAATAACGTACTAATTCAATTTGCTTCATTTCTTAGCCATACAATTAGAGAGGAAGTTATTACAAAGTGCACATGATCAAAAACACCAGTGTATGGTTGATTTTTGTCCTAAACGATCTTCATTCAGGATCTCTTTTTCACTTTCGTCTACATACTAGAACAATAATAAATGACTACTTAAACTTACTATCAACACTGCTCTTTTTTTCGAACCTAGTTGTATTGTAGAAAGAGTCGCGTGTGTCAGACACGGTGATTTAAAAGACATGAAATACATCATTCGCCTTCACTGTGGAAGGCTTACTATTTCGTCGACCTATTCATTCTATTTAGGATTTTGTATCTAAAATCAACATCATTTAAACCGACAGTTCAACTAAACGCGAGCAATGCTGTAGTAACAGATATGGACAATTATCTTTAATTTATGCATATCTTTCAAAATTAGTAGAACAAGAGTAGATTTTTTGCCTGGTATACTCATTATACTCATGATCAACAGTTTCATACCAAAATAAAGCTCATCATGGTGTTATGTCTCTCATCACCGTAACTTCACTACTAATCAACTCAAATATCTTTAATAAAGATATGTTATCATATGGCAACTAATTTGTATACAAAATGCAATCTGTTTTGATTCCAACCTTTGACGGAATGACTCAGAAAAGACATATTTGAACTATCAAATGATAATGATCTGAGTTTCTGGTGTAACTCATCACTGATTACTGTTGAGGAGTGTCGTATTAATAAATTCCTACAATTCATGTAAAATTTGAAAGTTATATTTTTACTGTCTTACTCATATTCCTGAATAAAACTTGAAAAATTCTCTATCAATTTTTCTTTCTTAGTTGTCCAATCTTTTATAACATGACCATTATCATGTCTAAGATTGAAATCCTCGTCAAAACTGGTTGATGTAGGCTACAAAAACGAATATGGAATAAATCAACATATCAAATAGGAGTATTAATGAAGAATCGTTCAGTGAATAACTTGAAATACGTAAAACATCATATTCAAAATGATGAAAAATTTAAAACCAGTCATACAGTAACTAAAATAAACTTTACATCTACCATAAAATGATAAGTCTCATACACTAAATGTTTCAAACATTAATATTTTATCCAGTTATCCCCAAACATTTGAAATCTTCGACATTTTAAATGTGGGCGAAAGTTTAACTTCCAAGGGTAGATTAACTACAGAAAATAAAGGAAGTTATTAGTGACTATGGATTTGTAGAAACTTCTGAGAGAAATGTCAAGATTCATAACAATTTTCGATACTTGACAAACTAGTAGAATAACAGTAGAGTATACTAGTTTGACCTCTAGAATTAGTAGGAATTTTGCAGATCGCTGATTGCCCTAAAGTGATTTTGGATATATTTTGATTTCTAAAAGATTTTTGAAATCAATCATATGAATATCTTTTCAATCTAATGACGTCGACATTATTCTACAAAATGAATATTCAGAGAGAAATTATTGTTGTATGGATGAAGCCTTTAAACTCAGTTTCTTAATTATTGAACATTTATTAACAGTACACATTTGAATAAAAATGGAAGTTGATCTATAGAAACCCAGTACATGAACTCATTTATTTTACATTCTGTATCATTAGTAATACTCATCTTGGCAAGGTATGACCCGTCGGTCAGAAAACTTTATATACGACTAATCCTGTCAAGAACGTTGATATCAATAAATCCCCAGATAAGATAAATTCAGTGAAATAAAATTTAAACAGAAAACAATCCATTTTAACACATGAAATATATACTTATGAATATTATTTTTAAAGAATGATGGATTTAGAGATGTGCGTTTCATCCTATTTGGGATTGGTCAGCTGGATACACCTGCATCTCAGATTTGATATTCACCTCTGAACTCGAAAGCAGTACAGACCAAACATACAAACAAATACTTACGAATGACACGATTCTATCAGGTGAATTATTCTTTGAATCGATAACTTCCGGTAATGTTTCTTTGATAATTTGTGTGCTTATTTCTTCCAAATTTGAGTTATTTTCTTCATTTTGTGAATAACATAAAGTAGATGAAGTTGATTCAGTGCATGGTGATTGTATGGAATTCCTCGAATGCTTGAAATTACAAATTATGTCAGTAATTAGTGCATCATTATTTCTAGTCAATTTCTTATTCTTGAAGAAACTTGGCGAACAATTCAGTGACAGATCATCCTTCCCTAAAAAATATGTTAAACTGATTGGATGATCTGTAATAATATCTGTAGAATGGAAACTTGTTAATAATGATGATGATGAATTGGATCGTTTATGAATTTTTATCTTTACCGGAGGACATTTTAAAGCTGTGTTAGAACATAAACTTTGAGTACGGTAACGATGAATGGAAGGCTTGTAATTCCAATGTTGTATAAAATTAATTTGTAATTGATTTAATACAGTTGAACGATTATGTAGATTGGTCAAGCGACTAGAAATAGAAAATTTGGTAAATAAATGAACATTATAATGTCATATTAACATTTTCAAAATAATGAAATATATTTGTGATAAGTTAATGATCCCGCATGCGGGACGTGAATGCGCACTGTTGAGGAGTCCCATACTAGGATGAAATGATCATCCAGTGCTTCCAGGTTTTCTATGGTGGTCTAGTTCAGATCGACTCGTGAATTTGAATTTAAAAAATACTACAATCTCCACAAATCCCCATACTGATAATATGTCAATTGGTAGAAATCAGAATTCCTGAGTTTCACAACTGAGGTTAGGTCGCTTCTTCAGAGACTAAATAAGTAGATAACTGTTGCTAAATTAACACACGGTTAAATGGTATAAAAAGAATGAGATAGGATATTTATTTCAATCGAAATGTAAAAATAAATCTTGATTATGTCAATATAATGTCACTTTTGAATAAAGCGATTATTTTGTATGACGATATCACTGTGCATAGTTGTACAAATACTAGTGAATGTGCAAAGTATGAAATCTGCAATGTGAAGAAAAGTTGAAATATGTGTATGTGTATAAATGATGTGAAAAATTTATAGAATCAGAATGCCGTTATTTGGATAAACGACTCAAGTTAGATGGATAATCAGACTTTCCATTCCTATTGAAGGCAGAAGAATAATACGCCTTAACTAAACGCCTTCCTTTATAATTGCTTAAAAGATTCCTCAATTATTTTGACATTTTTAATGTTGATTTGATGGTTGTTAAAAATAACATGAACTACTATTTTCAATTTAATTTATAGATTCTTCAGTTCTACAGGATGATTAGGTTCTCTTTTTATTAGCTCAAGTGTTCCTTTGCACGATTCTAGATTTAGCGAGAAGACTACCTAATATAGAAAGGAACACAATCAACGGGACGTAACCTGTAGACGCAATTCCACGTAGATCTAAAAAGACATCTTTTCATTTTTTCGAACTATAGGATTTTAAAGAGTTATGATGGTTTATGGAATGCCTGAATTCTGTATATTTTTATCAAAATGAGTTGTAATTCGTCTTATTAGAACACTATTGAAAGTAGATAAATTTGAGTATTTTTGTTTTATATTCTATTTCTGTGGATTTCAGAACAATGTAGAGAGCGTCCACTCTTTTTGAGATAAAATTTTGAAATATTGTATTTTATGTCAAGTACCTTCACCAGTGAACACAGTGTGTTTAAAATTGTTAGTTAGAACAAAGTCAATTTTCTGAATAACTCAAATGAGTATCCTACACTTGGTATATACTCTATCACCTGTATATTCTATGAAATTAAATTAGAATGTAATTTGTTGATTACACGTTTATGTGTTCAGCTTTAGGCCAAATTGTTTGTATGTGGGCTATTGATACTGTGATGTGTGCTTCTTACATAGACATAAGTAGTATATGATATTAGTCATGAACAGAAGGTCTGGCAGCAGAGACAAGAGGATCGAATAGTAAAGAATGGAAACACGATGCAATTCGTATGAAAATGCAAGAACAGTGAAGTCTGAGTCATTTTGAGACAATTGGTGGACATTTTGCAAATTAAGCATTAACTTTATGATTGTTAGATTGTATTAAAAAGTCCTGTAGTTTTGTGTTAAATACATCCGATTGCCCCCACTGGTGTTCTTGTTCACCACAATACTACCCACTTATCCAAACTGACATAGAAGAAAAAGTGAGAGAGGTTTCGAACACGTAACCTACCAGTTAAAAATCGAGTGATTAAACTATTAGATCATTGTATACTGTATGAGTATTTTATCGACAAGTTTTTATACACAAACTAACGTCTTTAGAAAAAATGATAAGATTAGTCAATCGGAACATAGAAGCTGAAGAGTGGCATTTTTACCGAGACAACTAAAATTCCAAAGGGCTTGTTTCAGTTACATGGTAGAGAATTCTAAATAATGAAAACACATTTGGCCAAACACTTCAAAAAACTCGACAATAAATCTAGATTAACAAGCCGTGTAATTTGGCTGAACGGCAAGCCTAATCGAAAGCGCATGAGTCAGTAAGTAGTACCACAAAAAAGCGTAGGAAATTAGATATTACTGTACAGTAATGATAAACATTTTTGATCGAAATAGTTACACGAATTCTAACATCAGCGACTTTGATGCTAAACGATCTAGATTCTAATTGTTACTTGTATATTTTCATCATTACCATAAACATCTCTTGTTAATTAAAATCGGCAAACTATGTTAAAGACTGTTAGTGCAAAATGTAATCATTAGGATGAAATGCCTGTATGATACAAAAAATATGAGTCAATAAACAAGCAGATGATTGTAAGGATAAGAATTTGTGGAGAGTTTCTAAAATTACGAATCAGCCTAAGTTGGGCAGAGAGCTATCGAAGATCAGGAAGCACAAGACTGAGTTTAACCCTTAGACTAATGTACCAACATCCAATGGTGAATATATATACTTCAATGGATTTGCGATAATGAGTAACGATTGTTTATTGTCTTTGGTAGGTAACTACCTCACACTCGATACAGAATAGCTCCACTGGTCACGGCTTCTCACTAGAACTTCAGGAGTTTCGTCTCGAAATTCATTACAAGTGTGTACATGATAATTATCAGTATAGTGGCTTATAGAGATTGCCGAATATTATCGATACCAGCCTGAGTTAGTCAAACATTGGAAACTAGGAAGCACTAGTCAGCTGCTTCGTTGGTGATGGATCGACAAAACCATCACCAAAGGTGGCTGCACAATATCGTGAATTGATTGACGTTAGTTACACACACCATTGGATGCTGTCTCAGTGGTCTAAAAGTTAAGAGTTCTCCGATGAACCTGAAGGTTATGGGTTTGATCTCCTGTGATGTAAAGGATGTGCATTGCCAAGGAGTCTCGTACCAAGACGAAACAGTTGTCCAGTGTTTTCTAGTTCTTTACTTTAGTCCATGATCTAAAAAATAACCTATTACTAAAAATGCATCACAATCACTAACCTGACTATGATATCCCTCACTCGCTTCAAATGTATCACAACAGATTCATACAAAGGTTCCATATAAATTTGCATTTCTTTCGTATAATAAATATCTGTCAAAGTGTATGTATCACCATTTTGTTTGATAGCTTGAAATTCACCTTCCACTTGATTTATCCAATAGTGAAAAGCATCTAATATCCCAATATAATCCTAAAATCCAATTTTAGATGCGAAAAAGATGAGGGAGCAAAAGCTATGAGAAATTTCAATGAAAAAAATAGTGATCACTAGACAAACGGTAGTGAATAAAGTTACTCATTAGAAAGTTTTATGTAATCGAAGGATTATTTTCATCATAATTTGACACGAGTTCAAAAACCACGGAAACATGATTAGACTGGCTGATTGTCAGACTGAACAACGAAGTACAATTAACCTTCCAACCAATGGGTACAAATCTAGTGAATACGATTCTATGACTTAATACCAAGAGAGGCTGTAGTTGAGCACACAATATCTTCATCGATCGAGAATATTCAGAAAATCGAGTGCGTAACAATTTACTTTTTGTTCTAAACGAATACAGTGGTTCAAGATCAACTCAATGAAAATGACGAAAACTTTTAATGATTGTTAATGACTACAGTACATACTTGTTAAGTAGCATAATTCATAAACTTGTAAACATACAAGTTAGATCACTGATATGTAAATGTTTGAATCTTCCCGTTGTTTATGCTAAGAACTGAATTCTGAACAGGTTTGGGATGTATGTATATCCAGATGACGATTCACAAACAGGATGAAATGTACATCCTGGATTACACTGCTAGACACTATCCATCTTTACTCAAAATATTTATATTAGAGATGAAAAATCTTAGTTTGTGAAAGATATGGGTAATGCACGGACTACAAAATTCTCAGAACTTATACTTGGTTTCTGAGAAAAATCTTCCACTATGTTGATACTTAGATTTTCCTCACTAGTTGATTCCATATTAGTTAAAAGTAAAACTGCCGCCTTAGTCCACGCATACGTGTATCCCCCACGAATAGGAGATGATATCGAAGGTGGAAATTGTTTGCTTCCTAAGTGAATCTACCGAGCACTAATTTCTCCGGCTGTCAGTCAGTCGGTGACATACAAAGTACAACCTGAAACGTATGTGAGTCGGCCCGATTTACCACATGAAATTAGCACCACAAGATAAACTTATGAAGACAAATCTCAGAGTAGTATAATTATTCACCATATCAGTAGTAGTAAAATGACTAGATATAGGAAAACAGAAAGATATAAGGAGATTACGGGACTCAGTATCTATAGGAAATTAAACAATGAACACAACCTCACTAATGTGAATGATTACGAGCCATATCTATCAGCCACTAACTACTAGTTACGATAATTGTCCCGACTACAACTAGGTAATCTTTATCTACCCAGTCTAACATTTTAATTTGTAAGCAGAAAATGGAAATTTATTAAAAGCTCGATTCTTGAACATCATGCATTTTGTTCATGTAATCCTAGCAAAATAGTCTTTGTAAATTATATACAATGTCAAATGAATTGTGTATAAAATATGCTTTTTATCAAATAACGGCAGATCCAACCCACCATTTCTAGTTAGATTTCACATGTTGGGAAATCATTTTTACTTCAAATTTTTTTAATTATTCTTTCATATTACGATGTAACATCGTTTGGATCATTCTTGATGATGTAATAGGTTGCTATATATGTTAAATAATAATATATACGATTGTATAATTTGCTTAACATTATCAAATGAAAATACTCTCTATCGAATTGTTTTACATCGTTCAACCTCAATCGATTCATCATATGATAATTTGTAGGGTTTGGTTGCTCCCGAAACGTTAGATTTTAAGCGATCAGTAGAAAGCTTGGCTGTGTTCACTGGAGTTCAAACCGTGTCGGGTGTGAGACAGTTATCCACCCAAGGCAATGGATAAAGAGTTGCGCTAGATCATAGATTGCTAAACATTGACACCGTTAAATGCCGGTTTGGTGGTCTAGAGCCTAAACGTTCGCGCGCGAGACCGAAAGTCCTGGGTTCAAGTCCCACGTGAGGGATCATGGATGTGTACTTCTGAGGAGTCCCATACTAGAACGAAACGGCCGTCCAGTGTTCCCAATGGTGGTCTAGCTTAGATTGACTCATGATTTCGATTGTGAAAATACTATAGTCTCTACAAATTCCCATACTGATAAAGCTTAGTGCCTAGATTTCCTGGCTAGCTGGTATTCGTCAACGGGTTGCACTTCCCATCTCGAAGGAAGCGATGCTTTCCATATAAAATGAAGACCTCCACCGTCTAGCACTGATCAGTATAAGTATCTCACTTTTCCTCTACATGATATCAGTCACTCTTTTCCTTAAATAACTCAATGTTAACGTCGCTTGTTTCATACCATCTAACACTAACTACTATTCAATGATTATTCTAATCCGATCATCAATTACGTTGCCAAGATTTAATTTCAAGGTATTTCATCTTACTTACTTTTATTTGTTTTACTGAATAGAAATCGTTTGAGATCTTATCAATAACTGACTTATAGTAGTGTTCATATTCCCTAAATAAGTGTTCAACTCGATTCAATAGATATCCGATACAATTAATTTGTCGTTCACAATAAATCACGTTTGATATTATCATCTGATAAATATCTAAAGAAAGGCAATTAAAAAGACAGAAACAAAATGAAATACATGAAGAAACAAATTCATGAGAACTAACTTTAATCATAAGAAAATTATCGTTATTGTAGTCTGTATTGAAGTTAAATATTTTGGTGTTTGTCGAACTGAAAAGCAATCAATTCTAATGAAGGCTAGATTTCATACTGGTAGTAGTGGGTACTCGTCATCGATCTCGATAGGACTGATGGTTCTGTTGTGGGGATTCAAAACTGTGTCACCATTCGGTGTTACAACTAAAACTAACACCACTGAGCTATTCAGATTGTGACTATCTTACTATCGAAGAACTGAGATATTCACACTGATATATTACTGAGTTAGTAACTAATGTTATGTTTGCATTGTCGTTATTTAAGTTCAGTCTAAAGACCAGACGAATACGATATTAGTTTCTATTCTAGTGATTAATCACAAAGTTTATTTAAATACTACTTCAGGTGCACTTCATAAACGTGTATAGCTAAGGGACAACCGATTGGAGTCGGCAACACATGAACTTTTTGTGAGTAGTTTTGTATGTGTTGACATTATATATTTCAGAACTCACTATTAGCTGAGAGGATCTATGTGGCACCCTAGTTTATCCATCTCCTTCCATTGTGGAAAGGTAGCATCGTTTTACTTGATGGTAGTCGGAGATAAATAATGTACTGCCAATACACCGTTGTACAATCTACAGTACAACTTTGCTCTCGGAACTTATAATAAATTGACTGAAGTTGGGAATTCGAACCATTCAAGTTCGATTCGGTATTCTGAATCTGTCATGTATGCATCAAAATATCTAACAGTCGTGAAGTGACGAATACCATCTTCATTCTATACGAATTTCTCGATAAAACACTTTTAAAGTTTTATATCCCTGTATGTTATAGTGGTTTAAGTTTGATCGGTTCATGATCACACTTAAAACTCAACCATCTCGACAACTCTATACTGTTAAAGTTTGCTATTGAAGAAATTTCTCCTTGTTCTTTAAGACATTTAAATTTACATTAATTAAACCAAATATAACTTACTACATAATTCATTATTAATCAATTGTTTTGACTCGTTTGTAAGTACGCGTTGTATTGTCATTGAAATTAAGAAGATTGAGTCATATTCAATTGTTTTAATAAATGATTCGATTTTCTAAAAAAAAAACTCAATATTTACTTTAAAATACACAAATAAGTTTTTGTATTTCATGTATGACAGAGGACTAAAACTCAAAATTTAAAGGAAGGTAGTAAAAAAAATGCGTGTATCTGTGTAATTTTCATTCTTATACTTTGCATTTCTCACTTTATTTGAACAAAAACATTGATACATTGAGAAACCGAATATGTATACATCACACTCCGTCATTCGATTTGCGTGAGGGTTGAGATACTAGCCGGGTGCCCAAACCGAAGTATATGGTTTCCTCAGAGGGCCACTCTCCGAGCCTTTGACACAGAGGTTTAATCCTCAAGGTAGTAGAGCAACATCAGGAGATGCAGTCCCAAGGTAGCTGGTGGCCAACAACAGGTTCATACGCCATTTGTTCCCTTAGGATCCTGGAGACCATGTCTACCATTGGTTTGGAATCATGGTTCTCCAACTTCCCTAGATGGGTCCTCCAATTCCAACACCAACTTGGTTAAAGCGCCGTATATTCTTTTTTTCGTCCTCTTAATTTCGTAAACAACACCCTACCGCGAGAAAGCGATGGGTAGGACTTCCCTGGAAGTGGCTGTATACGCGTGGCCATATGAGAGCATTTCCAGAGGGAGAGATGACGCTCCACAACCTTGGCCGTACCAGTGAAATGATCAAGTGATTAATGCTAAGGTTAAGCGTAGTGGATTCTAGTGAGGATAGTAAATTAGTTCGAAATCCTCATTTATTGATGTAATTAAGATACGTATTTCACAGTCGACTACCACCCTGTAAAAAGCAATGTTCCCTGGTGTAGAAGTAGGTTGGGAGAAATATAGTGACACGTAATCCAAGACATGATTACAATCAATGAAGACATTAACTGATGGGTTGTGCCTTGAAGATATCATACTCCGTGATTATGATATGCGTGATAATCGTGATTAATAGTTAGGAACTACGGGTGACGTGGCACAAAAATGATTGCGTTAGAGCGAATGCATTTACTGTTTTCTTTCCTCTGGATATCGACTTTTAATATTCTTTCTTACTTCGTTTTATTTCTACTTTTCAAAATACAGATTCTATGTAGTTACCATTATTCATACTACTTTGGTATCAATCGATTGTTGTGGTAATCTGGTATGTCGAGTTAGGTCGACGCATGTTTGTGTTAGATCTAAATGGTCAACTGATTTCAGCTTTGAGCTATACATTTTCTATATGGGGCCTTGTGATACTATTTGGTTGTTTGGACAGTAACAGATTAAACATCAGTGTTAAATCTGTAGATATGGTTAATGTAAACCTAATTTGTACATAGTTTTTTGATATTACTCACATTTTTCCGGATTTTCATTTATTCGGTACCATTATAACTATTGACTGTAAAATGCGGCAAGACTATAATTTTTGAACGAACCAATGAGATTTAAGATGGTCAGTCTCGGAATTCATTCATCCATTATATCATCTTGGGATTATAACTGATGTCAGTTCATGATGAAAACCCTAACTCTTATTCCTAACCCTAAATTCTGATTCTCGGTTCTAATCCTAATTCCACATACTAATTTATAACCATCTTTTGACCCTAGTAAGCATGTGAATTTTGTCAAGGTCAGTGGCACCGCTCAAAGGTTGTCCACAATTTATAGTTTCACCTAAGATGTTTATAAATCGATATTAAATTTCCTTGTACACATTTTGCATGGTGAAATGATTGTTATTCATCAAAGACACATATTACTTATCGGTCAACTTTTCTGAAATTCCAACCAGGTTCCTAAATATACCTGTCACATATCTGCACAGCTGGTATTCCTGAACATTATCCTGGTCGAATATCGGTTATAACACCGAAGTATTTTTGGTATCTATAAGCTATCAATTTCCTCTCATAATTATGGAATTATTTTTGGATCTGCCGAGGGTGAAACAGTTAAAAAAAATTTGCAAGCAACTTCCTTGTATTGATCATATATTCTTGTGTATTATATCATTAACCCATTATTCGTACGTTCTTTGAATAACATTGTTACCATTTGCATATTTGTATTTCAATCCACTAGACATTTAAGGTCTGACTAGTATTGTGTTCAACTGGAATACTGAACTGTATGAGTTCGAATGTCAAGTGTTGCATTGTTTTAATTCTCAGAGATTAAAGGAGCCTTTCTAATGACTTAAAATAATTAGTGTCCAGTGCTTCCAGGTTTTTAAGAGTGATATTGTAGTGAACAGAAAGTGAGTGGGAACAACTGGATGTATTTGTCACGAAATTACAGGACAATCATAAAGTAAATGCTTAATTTGCAAAATGTCCACCAACTGTCTCAAAATGACTCAGACTTCACTGTTCATGCATTTTCATACAAATTGCATCCTGTTTCCATTCTTTACTGTTCGATCCTCATGTCTCTCTGCTGCCAGACCTTCTGTTCACGACAAACATCGTATACTACTTATGTCAATATAAGTAGCACACACCTCAATATAACTTAGTTCAATTCATGATTTTAACAAAATTCACACAATCTTTACAACCTCCTTATTAATGATCATTAATAATAATAATAATAACAAAACTTACTTTCAACTGTTCAAAATATGATTTTAAGAACTGTTTCATGGTATTGAAACATGCATAAACATTTATAAATGGTGATTGTGATGAATGTGAATCTATTAAATCATCACTATTATTAAGAATATCTTGTTTCATACAACATGAGAACATTTGTTTGATAATTTCAAATTGTACTTTAATCAAATTTAATTTTTCAAAGAAGAATTTACATTGTATATCGTATTGAATTAAAAATTCTCTTCGTCTAGAAGCTAAACTTTTAATAAAACCACAGTTATCTTGTTGTTGAATTGATGTATTATTATTAATTAAAGATGAATAGAATACAGTTAATTGATTATTGAATAATTGAATACTTTCATGATGAAATTCTAAATTATTTAATTCTTGAAATTTCCATTTCATATGAATTATTAAGTTGATATAATGATTTGGATCTTTCAAAATTATTGATTTTAACTCAATTGAAGTTATATTTAAAATTAATTGTAGAGCTTCTTCTCGTAGTTGATAAATTTCTGAAGTATTTAACTTTTCAAAAGAAAAAAAAGAAAAGAGACAAAAACAAAGTGTTGTTTGCTGACGAGAATGTAAACAACTAACATAATTGAAGCTATTTCCATACATTTCATCTGATATTGTTAGATCCTTGTTAAGATAATTAATAATTTGTATCAGAAAGGGTTTCGTGGAGATTGTAATAGTTTCGGTAGTTCAGATCATGAGTCAATTGAAGTTAGATCACTATGAAAAACCTGGAAGCAGTGGATGGCCGTTTCGTCTTATTATGGGACTGCTCAGCAGTGCGCATCCATGACCAAGTTTTCCATGGTGGTCTAACTTCAATTGACTCATGATCACAAATATTAAAATTAATAATTGATCAAAAATTGTAAGATATCTCATTTTTCAATTGTTGAAGTGTAATTTTCATTAAACAATTTATTTTAATTATCTGGTGTTATTTGAAGACTTCTGTTATGAGCATGTTAGTGTAGCACAACCAGATATGATGAACGAAAAATACAAACATTGAACAAGTTAAAGCTTAAAATATAATCTCTAATGAAATTAGATTCTCATATATAGTACTCATCAAATTAATGATGAAAATAAAAGTACCTGAACATCCTGGATACATCACATTTATCGAACATTGAAAAAGATATAGATCACAAACATCGTTTTTAATAGATAGATCTGTTTTCTTTTATTTTGTTTACACTGACTTTAAGTGAGCAATTAAAGTTAATTATTAAATTATATAATAACTTACATCATGGCTATTAATAAGTGAAACAATATTGTTTGAATTCTTATTGATCAGATCAATGGTTATGGGTTTAATTATTTCTTCACGTATAATACACAATCTCTCTAAAATACTGTTTAATTGTTTCATATAAATATTAGAATAAATTGAATGTATAGTGAACTGATCCAACTTTGTATGAAGGACATCATAGATATCGTCCAATTCTTTCTGTTTGGATCTATTTTGAAAAAAGTAAAATTCGATCATTTTTTTTAATTGCTAAGGTTTGACATTTTTATGATCTTTAAGAAAAAACGTAACAAAAGAATACATGTGTTGTATAACGGCGAACATTTTCATAAACGAAGATTTCTAGGGTTATATTTATTGTATAAGGTGTATTCAATTGATGTCAAAGTTAATGTGAAGGTCAGTGGAATACATATATATAATTAATCGGTTTTGATTAGGATGAGTTATATTATGGAAATAATCCTACCACACAATGCTCATTAGTCAAAAACCTGAATAATTGATGACATTTGAGTGAAACATTTAATTTAAACAGATTTTCTTTTTGCCCAGAAACATGCTTAAATTAACCACTAACAGTATTATTAGTTGAAGACCATTTGATTGTGACTGAAAAATTGAAAGCAGTAGACAACAGCTTCGTTTTAGTTTGACTCCTAAGATTTATGTACTGTATGCCAGATAAAACCCGGAATCATCATATTTTTCAGGGAGCTCATCAATTTCACATTACGTGATAGAAATTAAACTGTTTACCTCCACAAGTTTAATTTCATAATAATCTCAAATTCCAATCAATTTATAACATAGCTAGTGTTGTCATTGACGCTTGTTTTATATAACCAATGTCGTTATTACGTAATGATAGACATAGAGTTAATTCATCTAGCAACACATCTCTACTCAATAAAATTTGATTTATTACACAAATGCCTATAAATGCATTAGATTAATATTAGTTATTAATAAGTAACATTAGAATTTACTCACTCAATATACATGGTGAAATATTGTTGGGTCTTAAAATCCACATACAATAAACATTGGTTGGCCACATTTTTTACAGTTTGTAATTTTTTCTGTACACAATTGACTTGATCAATACAGTCCTATAATTTAAGAATGTAAAGAAAAAATCGAGAAAAACTGTAAGGGCCAGGAAAAGATTTTGATCATCAGACTTCACAAAATGTATTACATATGCTTAACCACCGCCTACCTCGATTATTTATGTCAGTCCATGTGTCCATTGATTATAAGGCTTAGCCATAGTGATAAATCCACATTAACTGGTTGGGATCTGAAAAGCTGTGGTAACTAATAGTCGGAGATGGATGATGTTTCTCAAAATCATTCACAATAATATGAATGCATTCACTCTAATTACTTAAGCCTGTTAACTCTCGTAGAGTACAAGCTGTCAACCAGGATTCTCCAACCTACTCTGAACAAGACTCTTTTTTTAGCGGTTATCAAGTGCTATTCATTCTTTCCATGTCTGCTTCCGATTCTCGACGCAATGTGTACCTTGGTTTTTCTCTTTTCCATTTCCCTTCAGGATTCCAAGTTAGCGCTTGTCTCGTGATGCAATTTGATGATTTCCTCAATGTTCCCAATTCGTCTCCATAGTCTTTCCCTAATTTCTTCTTCAGATGGGAGCTGGTTTGTTCTCTGTTACATTAGATCGTTGCTGATGGTATCCGGTCAATGGACATTGAGTATCTTGCGTAGACAACTGTTTATAAATATGTGTACCTTTATAATGATGGTTGTGGTAGTTCTTCAAGTTTCAGGTCCGTGCTATCGAACTATCTTGTCATTCGTATTAAAGATTCTGACTTTAACGTTGGTTGAGTTTTTTGAGTCCCATATGTTGTTCAATTGTAGGAGTGTTACTTTGGCTTCGCTAATCCATGCCTTCACATATACATCAGACCCCCCCTTGTTTATTAATGATATTCTCGCTCGGTTTTAATTATCCCCACGGCAATTTTTTACCCCCCCACCCTTTTTAAATTTTTTTTCAACCCCAAAATTACAATATTTTTCATCCCGTTTCGTTCAGTGAAATGGATAGTTTTAAAATTCGTTTTAATTGGTTAGTTATGTCTTGTCAAATTGTTATAAAACATCAGTACTTGTCGTCGAAGCACATTTTAATCATCATTATGGAGAAGAGTAACGTGCCGAGTACAAGCGCTGGTGTTTCTCACGTAACAGAAATGGAGGAAGTCTTTTTGACAACCTTGTTTCTCGTTGCGTTCCAATCGCTTGAAGCGTTGAAGTCCGCTATCAAAAATTATAAAAGATCGATTTACTGTCATTATGTAGTTCGAGATTCGCATTTGTGCAGAGATCAAAACTCGTATATTAAATCTGTATGCTGGAGACATGGCCGTATAACATCTAGCGGTTCGTCACAGAGGATCAGACGAAGGAGGTAATTTGATTAATGTTAAAGTTTTTTGTCATGAAGGGCTTCCATGAACACTCAATGTCTGGCCTTCATGTATTGTCAGATTATAGACGGCTACTGGACTGTTGTACGTGGGAATGTGCATCACAATCACGAGTGCGATTCCTTGAGGTACGACGGTAGCTCTTGGGTGCGCAGGTTAACGGAAGCAGAGTTTGAAACTGTGCGACCGCTTTTGATATCTGGTACCGCAGCATTCGACATTAAGCATTTTGTTTACCATTCTTATGGCAAATGTTTGAATGATTAAGATATATTTATTATGCCGTACAAAGTGTGCTCACACGCCAACCTTCCTGGTAAGTAATTTGCTAATTTATAATGTAAATGATAGGTGATTACGCAAAACCGCATTTGTATACTCAATCAAGAACTTCGACTAATGTTTCAATGCCCTCGATACATGTAGGGAATGTGGATTTGGATGAAACGTTCAGTAACGACGAGGAGGAAATAGTTTCTATTAACTCCGAAGGGGTCACGGAACGGGACAACCGTTTGTGATATATGTAATCTTGCACAGCCTCCATATGAAACTGGTGATGCAGCTGCTTGGGTTTTTTGTCCTTGCGAAACAATGTTTCATAGGTTTTGTGCTTACGACCCATCATCAAACGTACGAGTAGTGAACTGTCCGATATGTGGCGCTATAAACAACTCATAGTTACGCCGTCCGACCGCGAGACCGAGTAAAGGCCCTTTTCAGGGCCACCCAAAAATTGATTTAAATTTTTTGTTTCCATCTCTTTTTTTCCTATGGCAAAGGTCAAGTGATTAAGCACTTATTAATGTTGAATGAATTGAGATATACCTTAGAGATTAATAATCGAAAAGCGATTATCGCTCATGTATTCAGTTGTAATCTACCGTCCAGTGCTTCCAGGTTTTCAATGGTGGTTTAGCTTCAAGTGACTCATGATTTCCTAAAATCTCCACAAAACTCATTCTGATAATAATAGTACATTTTAGTAAATTTCAATTGGAATATTTCAAAATAGTGAAAATTTTAATTTTGTCGTTAGGTCAATGAATTTAGGATTACATTTCTTAGTGAATATAATAAGATGGTTACAATGATCAATGTGATTAAAGCTCATAGAGGAGTAAACACAATTATCTTATTTATGAATAGAATAATGACAATATAAAACAAGTTGAAACCATCATCATTGAAATGATTAATGTGATTAAAGGTCACATAGTAGGTGTAAAAAGAAAGAAGAATATTATCTGTTTAATGAATATTCTTGTGTTATATTAAAAGTACCTGTAACCAGAACTATGCGTACGTATGAAGTACGTCTGATCGTCAACGAAGCCTTCATTGTTATTCATAAATACTGATTCTATCACCTTATTCATTTTCACACCTCTATAACTATTAATTACTGCTATAATCACATTGTAGCACTTAAAAATTCCCATAGAATATTGAAAACTGAAAAATATTTGAGCGAACAATTGTTTTCACTAACTTCATCCTCAGGCTCTGCAGTTATAAGTCCATAATTATAATATTTTACAAAGGCCGAAAATAAGGCATGGCATTAATGAATTTGACAATGTTAAGTGTTACAAATGGTGAACGTTTGCATACGTTAATAATATTTTTGTTTGAATATAATATGTAACAAGGAGGGGGGTTATCAAGATAATTACGATCGACGAATTGGGGATGATGGATGTGAAAATTAAGATACAGATAATGACAAATAATGATAATAAGGAACCTGATTCATATTTATACGTTTAATGTCGATAGACATTTATTGAGTCAGACGACGTAGGCTTGTTCATTTACACTTAATGAAACTAATATTTCAAATGATTGTCAAAATTGGTTACATTCGTAATGTCTAGATAATCCAGGTTTCATATTACGGCGGTTAACAATATTCACACATGACTGATTAAACACACTAGTATTTACTGTCATAATTTTAAAAGGCAGAACTACAAAGAATGTGCAGGTGAAAACAATAAATCGTTGCAATGGATTTTAAAAATAGCCGTATTGAAATCTAACGTTTTCTAATGGAAACCGTTTATAAAGCGACAGTAAAAAACTACTTCTTATTAAGAATGACTATTTACAAAATAACCCATTAATGAATATTATGTGCCTATTTCGGGAAAAATTATTACTTCTTTAATAAACCGTAAAAGTCGCTTCATTAACCGATGTTTTACGGTTCGTTCGCCTGGTTTATACATGTCGTAATCAGTAATTTATCATGATGATTTATTGATATGCTGATTTCTTCTTCCCATTAACATACTATGTGTTACTAAAAAACGTATGCACACACTTTGGTGATAAGTTGTTTATTAATTTGACTACCGACCTCATTCAGTAATCACTATTATCAAATATTCAAACCGGTTCTCAATTCCTTTTTTCCAAAACTTTCTTTTAATGTGATACATATAATTATTCGTATTTAGATAACTAACGACTTCAGTTCAAGGTATACTTGATCGGAAAACAAAAATTTATCCTAATACACATTCACTAACAGTAGGATTGCACAGTAGTGCAATTAAGTTGGTGTCTTTTTCTTCAAAAGTCTAAATTTCTTACAATACTAAGATTACACAAAAAGATTTATTCACTATCGTTAAATTTCAAATGTAAAAATGCAAATTCTGACATTCAATCAAAGCAGTTCATGCTATTCCGATTTCAACTAATCAGATTACAAAGATGAACAGTTTACGACCAATTACAAAATTATTAAAGGTGACAAAATGTTTGTTC